CATCAATATCAAGGACTCTAGAACAAGCCACCCGGCTTCTTTTCTCTCTCTTACTGGCTACGAAGACAAACTGGTGCTCGACGCACATTACGAGATAGTTCGCAATAGGATGGCCGGTGTTAACGAGAAGAGAGAATACATTGAAGGCTCAAACCCAGACAGCGTATCGCTAAACCTAGTGGTATTCAACTGGGGAAATATGGATCGAGCGCCGGTGCCCGCAGGGAATCCCAAAAAGAAGCTCAAACCTGAGAAGGGATTCGATTATCACCCTCTTATTGACATGTGCTTCAACAATTCAGCTCATATTACCCTCGTACTCGAGGCAGGAGCACTTGCGTCAGAGTATTCAATCGCAACCATGCGACAACATGAATACAGGGGGATGCTAATCCATTCTCCTCCCAAGGAGCCTGAGGCACCCTCAATGTATATTGGAGTCAAGGGTGACCCAACAACAGACATCGCTCTCGTCCACCACTTTTACCGTCATCGAACAATGAAGCCTAAGAATGGTGGTCCCAAGAAGCGACTGTGGGCATGCCACGGTGCGGTATGCCGCCTCACCTTTGGGTACCACAGTACCATACCAGAGGCAAAAGAATGGGTCCACCCATATTCTGGCCAAAGGATGACGAGAGACGAGTTCATGCAGATTATCGGATATGACCCACTCAAGGGCAAAAATCCTGACAAGGATGGACCCACTGATGGCTCTTACCTCTCACCAGAGGCGTGCCTGACACTGTCGAACCTCGACCCCTCGCCGATTCTCTGTGAATGGAACGGCCATGTCGAGGGTGATGAGCCACCAGAGGAAGACTTTGAGTCATACGCAGAGATCTTCTCACAAGAAGCATCGAACGATCTTGACGAGATGTGGTGTACAAAAGGGCCTTACAAGGTCATCACCATCGCGATCGTCCATTTCAACTCGTTCATGACTCATAAGGAAGAACAGAGACGCGAACTGGTGAACGCGTTCCTCAACGAGATTCTCCCTTTTAAACCGGATGTAATAGCGGGAGATCTCAATAATATTGCGTCGAGGCTCACCTTAAAAGGTGGAGACGTTCACCCGCGAAACAGTTTGTTTTCTCTATACCTGGAGAAGAAACTTGCAGCATTCAACAAAATAGCAGGAAGGCACTCACAAGTGCGACATCTTTGCTTGAACAACTCCGACCAGCACAGACTGGCACGTGCAGATCGTCTACCGGCGGACCCGGCGAAGAAAGTTGCTGACCTTGACTGTATCAACAGTTATATCCTTGACTGGAGTAAAACGCCGCACACGGCGTCACCTAGTCCAAGAGAGGTCACACCTGCCGCTGAAAGAACATACTGGGAACGAATCTCAGATATGTGGCAGGACACGAACAACAACAGGGATATTGATATCCGTCTGTTTGTCTCAGTCAAGCAGTACTATTCAACTTTTTCTAACCTTGACCTATGGTTGAGTCCCTCTGACAAAGATTGGCACAGCCCTTTGGGCTTCACGATTCAACCAATCCTTACAAAAGGGAAACACAACCGGTCAGATGCCCAGGTCCAAAAGATCGCTGACAAGCGAAAGGCTTACAAGCAGCGTAATGCTGAATACTGGGGTTACAACGATTCATTCGTTTACTCATCCGGCAACAGCTGGTACGACAAATCGCAACCATCAGGTAGCCATCACAGATATGGAAGATTCTGGGAGTGGCCACAGCCTGAACGTCCCAGCGAGCCTGAAGGTCCTCCTCCAAGAAGGAACCAGGAATCATCGTCCTCTTCACAACAAGATCTACCAAGATCAAGGTCCAGGCCTCAAAGAACCAATATTGTTGACAAGCTCAACATGTCTTTGGAAGAGCTGGATGGACTAGAAGAAGAACCGTCACCAACAAAAAGTGACATCGAAGAACACGAAAGAGAAACATCAAACTTGATGTCTGCTCAGAGAGATGAAGAGGAACAAGAGGACGAATCCTCAAGCCGGAGGAGAAGAAGGAAGGCATCGCGTCCACCGTCTGCTCCGAGCGGCAAGGCACTCAGAACAGCTGCTACAGCAGCGGGGTTGTCGGGCTGGTTCGGACACCGCAACCGAGGTGGAGCGAACGCAGAGTCTACCAAGACTGATGAAACTTCACTTCCAAACTCACTAACCAGTGAGCAGGACTTCTCCGTCTTCAGCATCGCGTGGAATGTGTTCCTGCTGCTAATGGGCTTACACTGGATGTGGAAGCAGATTACCAGGCCTCCTATCAGATGTATGGAGCGCCAACAACCAAAATCAAAAGCAGCAGCGAACCAAAGAGTTCCATTCCTCGAACCCGAGGATGAACCGCAGACGCGTGAACCTTTAGGACCCAACAGGGTCAATTCCGGAGAAACAACTGATCTGCGACCTATCTGGCATACTTCCCGAAGCGAAGTCTACCATCTCTCAGACAGCTGTTACCAGCTCAAGCAAGCAAGAGATGTTTGCAAGAAGGTGCTGTGCAAAAACTGCCTCCATGCAGTACAAGTTGCGGAGATTCGCAGGAACGATCCTTTCCAAAGAGGTGATACACGACCACGTGGCACCGAAAGAGACATTGAGCGCTTCCAGACCTACGATGATGCAAGTAACACTCCTCACATGACACAATTATTCAAGGATGCCTTGCATGCACAAATGGCCGAAGAAGCCATGCAGATTACCTATACATCGATCCCCAAGGGATCCTCGGCAAAGGCCAGAGGTACATCTGCACTCTCAAGTGCCGCATCGTCATCAGCGCCCAAGGCAATGCCACCAGGGCCTAACAAGGCAAACATATCACCTCCACCTAAGAGTCCTCCGCCAAAGGCGAAAGGAACAGTACCTTCTGATCCTCCAAGACCAAAAGGTCCTACCAGAAGAGGAGGTCAAAATCGGCGCATTCAACGAAAGGCAGCTAGAGAAGCCCACAACAGTGGACTCTGCACCTATGCAGACGCTGCACTTGACGAAGCCAATCAAGGCCAGGCAATTAACGTTACGTGCCGAAACATAGTAGCAAGACACGTCAGCTCTATCGATGCAACGGTAGAAGCAGCCGGCCAGTTTACACAACGCGTGCTACAGCACGTAGAAACATATGATGAAGAGGAACCGTGGAGCACGGAGTTCCTACCAGTCGTGGAAGTCCTATTCAGGAACTTAAGCGGCGACGAAACAACTGTCATACATGACAATCAAACGGTAACTATGCCTCTTGCGAAATACACAGACCTCCTCAGAATCGCACAAGCATTGCGAGGCTCTATCCAGAGAGACAAGGAGGAAAGAAAGGAACATCTTGACACCATCCAAGATACTCTATCCAGAGTGGAAATCCTTCTAACAGCACTGAAGGACTCAAGGACAGTCTTTAACCAATTGGTCCATTCCTCACTAGAGATAGAGCGAAGAAATAACAATCTCAAAAATGTCCTCGAGACACTCTTTGACGACCAAAGCTCTGAGGAAGACCAGTCAGAATCTGACAATGAAGAAGTCCTAACTCCTTCTGCACCACAGTACTGGAATAGCCTTTATGCCCACGCCTTATCTCCTTCAGGAGATGAAAGTGAAAGATCATGGGCGTCCTCAGACGGACAGCTTGAAAGAAGAAGGGCTGAACGGGCAAAGGCTAAGCAGCCGCAACCGGCAAAAGCCAAGGCAACTCCAGCCAGCTCACAAGCTGCTCCAAAGGCCGAGCCAAAGGCGACAACATCCAACCATGGATATGATACTGCAGACGCCGCCTTCACCAGGGCTGAGAACAGATTACTCGGAATCTTTTCAAGTTCCGAAGAAGACCACTCAGACCCGGATGAGCCACATCCGAACGTCTACGCTCGAGCCTATGATCCAAACCTGGATCCAAATCTGAGATAAGAGAATCTCAGAGTTTCACAACAGTGACTCACAAAGCTCTAACAAGAGCAAAGTGAAAGGCTGCATAATTCGATGTAGAAAACATCACCAGACATGATCTTGTACAGATGATCTCTCTGACCAACATGCATGAGTGTGTGTGCAAAATGAGTGGAGTGTCCTCAGCAGTGTACTTCAGTGCTATACCTAGCATAAATAATATGCTGTTTTTATCATGAGTCCAAACTCCGCAACTGTGACAGTGGGCATAATAGTATATGTGTGAATGTGCGGCCATGCTTCCGGTAAAAGAAAATTAGTGTCTGTTTGAAACCATAAACCTCTAAAGGGGTAGCTCTAACAGGTACCTACAGCAATGGCTGCATGCTCATACATATACATTCCGCTGCCCATTGGCTCACAGTGGTTTTACCATATTGAGACAAGACAAGCTCTCCTTGCGTAGCAAGACAAAACAACTACTGTCCGTGTGCAGGGCGCTGCCCTTTGATCCTTAGGGAATAACTGGTCATACACCTCCTCACAAGGAGTATCCCTTGGGGGTGTATCGGCACACCCCCCCCCCCCCCCCCCCCCCCCCCCCCCTCCCCCTACACCGGTGTTTATAAACACATACATATCTACATGTCTGGCAGGCTAGCTGTTTCTAAACATATACAACATCAGTTCTGAAGAGGAGGCACATGATTGTGACGACACGACATGTTTATAAACAAACCCGGTGTTTATAAACAGACCTCGTGTTGCACAACTTGCACAACAACTCATACTTGATGTTATAAACCATCCAAAGCAACAACATACACGTACACACCCACCAAACTAGTACACAGTTCAGAGAACCCCAGGTGTAATCACTCGAAACATACAAAACCACTCGAAAAATTAAAAACCACTGAACATAGTGGGTTGCCAAAACGCAGGCCCCACAGCCTCCTCTTCTGTATATATATATATATATATATATATATATATATATATGTATACGTGCATGTATGTATGTAGGTTGTCTATGCGTAAATGTACGGCAGTAGTTATGCGGGGTGAGAGGAGGTAGAGGTTCGTTGGGACGTGAAGGGCGTAGACCGGCACGGGCCAACGAACCGATGGGTTAGTAGAGGTTCCCTTCCAACCTCGATCATGGGGGTAGAGTATGTGTCGGTTGTGCAATTTCTGTTCATATGCGCATCGAAAGACGTCTCTCGCTCTAGCTTGTCCACTGTAACGAAAGCGGCTCGATCACTTGCAGCACAACAGAACAAGAGAGAACCTGCCGCTTTCGATGATCGGACAAGCTAGAGCGAGAGACATCGACTCTGGGACATGGGTCGGCGGCATGCCCCAACTCGTCACCATTCGCGCTTTCGTTTTCCAGAGAAAACCCTCTGGCAATTAGAAATCCAGGAAATCCATGGGGCCGGGGAAATTGCCTGCGGAAAAGGCGAGTATTGCAAAATCGAAAATTGTGGTGCTTTTCTGGCGTTCCCTTCCATTTCGGCGGCCTTGGAAGCAGGAAATCTAAGAAATAGGGGCCTTGGCAAGGGCTTCCGGAAAAGGAGCGACGATTGCAAAATCTACAATTTTGGTGCTTTTGTGGAGTTCCCCCCCATTTCTAAAGTAGAGGGGAAGCGTTGCCTGGCCAGGGCCGTTTTGGGGACTCTGTGCATTGTTGAGAACTATTGCAGAAACACCGGATTTTGGCCTGAAGTCTCACACTGAAGAAGACCCTCTGCCTTGGCCAGGGCCGTTTCAAAGATTCCCTGCTTCGATGGAGGGTTTGCGAGAGAACCCTCTGCCCAGGGGAGCTCTGTCTTGATGGGGGAGGTTTAGGGTAATCGTTTTATTGTGCACATCGCGGACGGGCTCGTGCGCAGCTCCCTTGCCGGTCGCGCGGGCTGCGCTTCGCCCGAGGCCCTGTGCGCTTACGCTCGTTGCTCCGGGCCCGCTCGCACCGGGTGTGCTTCGCTGCGGTTCGGCGATTGTATCACTTGAAGCGCCTCGTGCATTTTTCGAACCCCTTCGCTAAGAAATGCTGGGCACAAGTTCAGGTAGGCTCGTTGAAGAAATACACGGGCCTTAATAATTTTACATCAGGTTTGGGTGTATATTACGGTATAGCTTATGGCTACGTTTCGGAACCTCTGAGGACCAGTCTTTGCAATTGCTCGGGCACCTACATCATTTGCTACACTCCTGTCCGTGATGTGGCAGTAAATCGTCGGGGAGGACACTCCAACACGCTATCGAAGCACGGTTCCCTCTGGAGGAAGTGGAAGGGCTGTGGGTGTAATGGTCCCTGGAGTTGCTACTGCCACTGCCACCAGCAGCACCACATCGAAGCTCTGAAACTCGGATGCTGCGCACCCTAAACTTAGAAACGCTGAACTCCAAGCCCTTCCAAAGCTCCAACACCCCAAACCCGAACACCCCAAAAACCGCAAAAGGACCGCTCTGCGCCCCTCCCCCCGTCTCCATGCCTGGGAGCCTGTGGCGGCGTCCGACTCTTCCTGGAGCGGGTCCATGCTCGTAGTGCCTCGGCCCGGACCAAAGTACAACGCCGCAGCCTCGACCGGTGTAATTCTTCCGGCCTCTATGTTAGAGAACCCTGTGCAACAGGAGCTGCGCCGAGGCTTCATGGGCGATGCCAGACCGGATTGGGGGTGTAGGATTTAAGTTTTAAGCGTTCAAGAGTTTAGGGTTGTAGGGTCGTTTAGGGTTGAAGCGCTTAAGAGCTTAGGGTTCTAGCGTCTTTTAGGGCTTCTCGCCGGAGGGTTTTTAGGGTTGCTTGGGGGCTTCAGGGCTTGGTGTTTAGGGTTTAGGGGTTTAGGGTTTAGGATCTAGGGCTCACGCGCTGCCAACTGCCAGCAGAACCTTGCTAGCTTGCCAGCTTTTCGACCGAAACAGCAACGCTACAGAAAGGAGTAGTCTGAGTCTGGGCCTTTATTCTTCAAAACTTGTGGTTGAGAGTAAGGGCTGTATGTTAAAGTATCGTTGGTACTATAACATACTAGAAGATACGATCAGACAGTACGTTACAATAATGTACCATAAGAAATCAAAGGCAAAACTTAACCAGAAACCCTAAACTGTACTGACGATGTGACAGCAGGACCGGTTGGGATTCAATGGCCCCAAATTCAATCCTCCGGACCGCGGCATAAACGAAAAAACTACTCGTCCCAGGCCCTGAATCGAAAGCCATAGCTTTGGTACTGCCCTCATACAGTGAGAGTCTATAATAGGGCTACTATTCAGGTCCCAATATATCTACATTATTGTGGGGCCGTACCCAAGCCATAGCCCTAATCCTTAAATAATCCCAAAATTTCGAAACCCTACATCGCAAACCCTAAACCCTAAGCCACAGCCCCGCTTGGCACCCTGCACGCGAAGGCCCGGAGATTCCAAAGCCTGCGTAGGCGGACTTGGTGAGGCTTTCGAGCTTTTGGGGGGGTTTAGGGTTTTGTTGATGAGGATGCAGGGATCTTAGACAGCCTTACGACTCTGAGCGCCCTACCCTGCAAGTAACGACCTGAAATTGAGAGCTACTCCCCGTCTTAACAAGGTAAAGCAGCGCGTCCTAAACCCAAGTGAACTCATATCAAGCCCAAGCGAACTCATGTCAATCCGAAAAACGTTACAAGTAAGCAAAATAATATTCCAAGTATAGCACAAGTGCTGCTCGGTTTTGCATTTAAGCATTAGTGAGTGCGTATCCCCGCCTCTGTGTGTGTGTGTGTAAATGTATCCACATAACCAGCCTTGTACATAAATGCATATGCTTATCTATCTATCTATCTATCGTCAGCTCTGTCTGTCTAACTATCTTCCTAGCTATCTAGATAACTACCTAACATTATATCTAACTATCCAACTAACTAGCTAACTAACTAACTAACTAACTCACTCACTCATTCACTCGCTAAGGAAATAACTGAGCACACATATCAACAAACAACTATCTGATCACATCTATAGTATGTTGACTCATCCTCGTCATTTCTTGATTCAAGTGTTTGCTTGTTTGCTTTTGCTGGCCACCCACTTCTTCTGCGTGGGAATACATACACATATCGCCACCTACATGCCTATATCTATCTGGCTATCTATCTGCTTATCCTTATCTATCTATCTCTTGTCCTGCTCTGCCTGATCTACTATAGGCGCCTTAATAATAATTAGAACAGGGTATTGGGGCATATTGCCCTAAACCCTAATCCCTCGCCAGCCGTCTCCGGCCTGTTCTCCGCACCTTCCGCATCCACAGGCGGCAGAGCCGGAAAGATTTCGGCCTGTGAGACGAGGCGTTTGGCTTCAGGAAGCTTGGGTCACCCTGAACGTGTTTCGAGGTTCTATGACGGATAGTATACCTAGACCCTCCATCTACCCTCTATTAGACCCAAAATGCCCCTTATTTGGGATCATATACCCTATTTGAGGGTACAAGGAGGGTCCTGGTAAACTCCCTAAACTTTACTTTGGCTCTATTGAAAGTGAAGGTTTGGAGTCCCAGGGCTGCCATATCTTCTTCGATACTGAACTTAGAATCCTAGCAACAATTATAACTTTAGCTGTTTCTTAGGGATTATAATAACCAAAAATTCAAAAAATATTTCTAAGTACCCCTAAAAGTCTTTAGGGTTCTTGAAGGCTTACTTTCAGAGTTTGAACAAGGTTTGTACGGGTTCAAGGTTTGAAGGGCTTAGGCGCTGCAAGTGTCTAATATAGGGGCCTGAGGGTTTTGGGGCCCATTATAATATACTTATAATAAGGAACCCCCCTAAATAGTGTTAGTCATTTTTTAGACCCCTGTAGTAGATGTTCATGGGTTGCTTTTTGAGAGGTTCAATGTTGTTAGGGTTTCGGGTTGTTTGGATTGCTTTAGCAGGACAGACCTCACCTCACCCTTCGCCCACGCTTCCTTCGAGCTACGATACTGACTGTTCCTGCGCAGCTCTTGGAGATAATGCTGAGGCGCACATTTGCATTACACACCCTGCAAGGCCAGAAGACTATCAAACCTATGAGCAGGACAGTTGCCATGACGACGTTGATTTCGTGGGTCGTCATTGCCATCATCATGACATCACCCTCAGCATCAGCATCATTCTTACAATCACCATCACCATTATTGTCGTCTTGGTCATCATAATCAAAGGCACCTGCATCATTAGCAGGAGGATATGCATAAACAAATCCATTACATCATCGCTTTCACCTGTCATCACAGCCACGGCGGACAAACGCAAGCAAGAAAGCAAGCAAGCAAGCACGCAGGCAAGCAAGCAAGCAACTGTAAGACTATCAGTCGCGACGGCAGTATTCACGACACCTGCAACAACAGTGAATTACCGAAACTTCTTGCTGATCACACTATTATCAGGCCGTAAAGAGAACATCAGCAAGCCTAATACTAATGCGAGTGGTTCGATAGCAACGTTTCTTGTTCTACTTGCGGCGCTACTGCCCTAAAGCTTACAGAAGGGTCAATCCTGGGGCATGCATTTGTGCTTACGGAGTTTTTGGAGTCACGTAGGTCTTTAGATCGGGCTCGTGATGCTAATTTGCTCCACTTAATAATTAATCTTCTGTTCACGGATCTTTTCGTGATTTGTTTGATATCTGCATCGCCTTGTCAAGGATTCTTGTCATGGTGTGTTGGTCTGCCGAATTTGTTTCAATTTCCCTTTACTGTGTTACTGTGTTTATAAAACACAAGGGCTGTTTATAGACACAGGCGCTGTTCATACACAAACGCTTCGCTCGGGGTGGGGGGGGGGGGCGCCAAAGGTTTTGGTATGATGGGGCTACATCCGGGACCCCCCCTTCCCCTCGCCCCCCTCCCCCACCAGCACTGACTTTCACCACAACGCACAACCGCCGACCAATCCGTGGTCTGCCCGAGACGCGCGCAGCCATTCCCAATTGACACCAACCTAAGTCTTAAATGCTGGTCATAGAATTTTGTCTTAATGGAGGAGAGTGTGGAGTTTATGTGATATACCCCAAGACCTGCTTGGACAAAGTCTGGAAAACACTGGAATTTGCGGTGAGTTCTGCTTATCCTTTTTGTGAATACTTACATGGGTTGTTTACAAACACCGGGCCTTGTTCATAAACTTGCGGATTGTTTGTGAACATATGGGCGACTTAAGCGCAGCAGGAATCGGGCCCGTGTGTCTCTTCTTGTGTATACGGAAATAAACGCACTGCAGCAACGTGCGGCTGATACTGTCCAGGCTCCTCGAGTGCAACCACAAGGTGTTTGTGAATAGTATTTCAACTAAACAAAATCTCTTGTAAGGCTATGTGTAGGTATGGAGAGCATGCAATGGCCAGGACCATACCGATTTGAGGAACTCTTGGAAGATGATCCGTTATGGCTTGGAACCGACCCGGTATCCAGTACAGTATTTTCATAAATCCAAACGATGTTGATCCAAATACTGGCTGTTTCGAAGGGGTACGATATGAACAATAGTATTCGCAAAAGCCAGAATCGCACAGCATCACCACAAGTAGGATTCCAGTTTAGGACAAGAGTCAGATTTTCATCGCTTACAGTTTGTCGTTGGTAGTCTTAGATGTGCACATAGAGGCTGAATCCGCTCACATCTTTCAGCGTGCAAAACAAGGGCCCTTATGTGCATGCACATATCGTTAAGCCTATGCTTTTCGACAGCTGATTAGGCTGAATCATTACGTTGTTGTTCTCAAACATTGTTACAACGGTGTTTGCTAAGCTTGCTTGGGTAGACAGTCCTAAGTCTTAAAGGCCAGAGGTTCAGAGCTGCATAGGGAAACTGTCGAGCTTACATGGCATAGTCGAAGACGCTCTGTAGAGAGTCTTAAAATTACAGGTATTTACAAGGTTTTCTGCTTGTAAGATCTGCTGCATAAGGACCCAGATTAAGTGTTCAACCTACACACCGGTGTGGCGCCTGCTGGAGGGCGACTCTGCGCAGCTCGCAGAGGCCATTCCCCAAAACACTTATGATGCTTGCTTTGTGGTATATGCTTTACAATGTACTTTACAAGACACACAAATACAAGCTCCTCCAATCTGGAGCTATAAACGTTGAAACCCGATACAAAGCGTTCAAACCAGACCCAGGCCCCTCAGTCGACCGCAAACCTTAAACCCCTACACCCTACAGTAATCCCCGATCAGAACCCGTCGATGTGCTTTGTCGCGCCTTGTATGTCAGCTGATTGCCGATGCCTTCCAGCTCTGCAGGCCTCACTGCCGGACCAAAGCAGTCTTCAAGACAGGATGAATAAACAAGTTATGGGGCCTCAATGGCCAGAACGGGGTTTTGGAGTATTCCTTGCTATAGTACATGCTATATCGAATCGAAAGCACTGACTAAGACGGCTGAGGGTCTGGACGAGAGTTCAGGGCATGCATGTATAATATGTACATGCATGTATACCTATCTACATTGGTTGGTTATGCAGTACATTCTCAGTTTCGCAGACAGACAGGCAGACCGAACAGAACAGACGCACGTGCACGCACACACGTGCACGGTCAAAAACAGTGCTAGCCAAAATTGTGGCAAACATGGAACCGCAGTGCAAAAAAGTCTAATGCTAGTACCAATATCAATCGAACCTAACCTCAAACAAGTTTGGTCTCAAACGCTGAGTTTAAACCACTAAACCCTGCAGTAAATCCCTACCTAAACCCTAACTGTGACTCGATGCCATCTGCGTAGTGAATCCGAGTTGCGGTGGGACCCGGGAGGAGAGCAGCAAATTCAGGGGGGAGGGCGCCGAGCAGTCGTACCTCCAAAGACTTCTGTAGGGGTTCCCCTTAACTCGTACACTCCTACACCCTAAACCCTAAACCCCGAAACCCTAAACAACCCCGAAACCCTAAACCCCGAAACCCTAAACCCCGAAACCCTAAACCCCGAAACCCTAAACCCCGAAACCCTAAACCCCGAAACCCTAAAGCCTAGAAGGTGGGTTCCTTACTGAAGTTCTTCAAGGCTCTTGGGATTTGCGAGGCGAGACTCCTGGGTGTCTTAGGGCTTGTCGAGTTCAGCCCTTCAGGCCGTCTTTAACGCTGCGCAGTTTTTGTCGGGTGTATATCTGCGGTTGTCAAAACTATGGTCCCTTTTTGGGGTCCCTATTGTAATACGGCATCTACTATTTAGGGTACCCAAAAAGGGACCCTAATTGTGACAACCACCTATATGGCTCAAGACCGGATTGCACTTTGGACTCTCGCTTAGGGTTGAGGGTCTAAGGCTTAATATAGGGGCCTTAATAATTAGAATAGGGTTTCCGCGTGATGCGGGCGAAAGCCTGTCGACAAAGAGCGAAACATAGGACGACATATGCAGCCTCGAAGAATGTGTATATACACATGTACACAAGACATCTGCAATTTACAGCGAATAGATTGCAGAAGTCGAAGCATTGCATCGTATTTTTGGGACCAGGAGTCCAAAGTCTGTACAAGAAAATCTTTTGGTTTAGGGCATCTGCGTGTAAGGTTGCGCGGCTCAGTAGAATAATTGATCAGCTGATTGCAAGAGGCACATCTTTCAGCCTGTGCCCAAACAGGTTCAAGGACATCTGTGCGACAATCATTCTGGAGAATTGGACTAGCTTTAAACCTTTCGAGGGCAGCCTGAAATCTAGTTTCCGGGTATACTATACTATAACTGCAAAAAGGAACCCCCAAAACCCTACTTCTACTTCTTAAGGCCCTTATAGTAGGCAGAAAGACGGCCTCCGGGTCTGGGGATCAAGAGAATTTAAGTTCTGAGCGCAGTATGGCCGGGTTCTGAGTTTAGGGTTTACCCATGGGCCCCAAAGTAGTTCCTTTTGGGGACTACCTTATAGGATTCTAAATATGAACCCGAAAAAGGAATTACTATGGGGCCTTAGGGTAGTGTCGAAGCCTCAAGAGACAAGGGCATTGCTCATTATTCAAAGCTCTATAGACATGCAAGGGTTTGGTTTGGGTATTGAAGCAACCGGCCCTCCCAAAAGCATAAACTTCTCTGCATGCACATACATAGACCAGATGTTAACCGTCCGTTGCCTACACCTTTGCCCATACTGACTTCATATAATGGTAAGGGGCCTTCATACTGAGAAGGGCGTTTCGGTGGACACCATTAGACCATGAACATGTAAAGACTACAAAGGGACAAGGTTTGATTTGGGCCCCTGAAATGACCCCTCAAAAGACGGCGTGCTCTAGCATCATCAGGACCAAATGCGACTCTAATTTACATATACATACAGTAAACCCCATAAAGTTGGAAACCGTGTAAAGGACAACTAGTGCTGGGATTCCCTATACATGACTCTTAGGCATTGAGGCTATTGGGTTTCCAACTTTTGGGCTTCTACCAAATTTACATATACATAAGTCTCCCTAATCCCTAAACCTTAAACCGTTGACGTAAGTTCTTGGAGGCGCACCAGGACTCTGGCACCACGTCTCTTCCCAACTGCAAAGATCTGACCTGTCGGGCCGTATCGATCCATGGAGTTGGAGCTCTGTTGTATACGTATACCTGCTTGACTTTGCATTTGTGCATACACATATATATATATATATATATGTATATATATATATATATATATATATATTTCTGTATATAAGTATATATATATATATGTTTATATATACATATACATATACAAAAGTGTGTACGGTGGGCTGCCAGTCTGAATCTGAAACCTGGAGCCGCCGAGCCACAGAACCCCCAACCCCACAAACCGAGCTCTCCTCCCTACTCCTCAGCATGAAGGCGTCAACGGCCCCCAAACTGAACCTCCCCTTTAAAGGGAACTCCAGAAAGTTAGAATATGGATTAATGGTAGGATCCCCTATAATTTACCTTAAAGGGGTTACAATAATGATATTCCAACTTTATGGCTTCTACCGTAGAATGCAGAACCCTAAACAGCCGAGTAACTCCCCCAGACGGGCCTCACAAGAACCTCCGCTTCCGAGGCTGAAGCCCTCCGGTGCCTTTCTGGAAGCTTCAGAGGCTTGGGTGATTTAGTTCGGTTTAAGGTGTAGGGTTCAGGGACATCTGGGGACATGCTTGGCTTGCCGGGATGAACAGAGGGTTACGGGGCGCGGGTTTTGTAAGGCATGAAAAACGATATGATAGGCCTTTGTGTGGTTTTCAGCAAGGCATCAGAATTGTCGCGAGGTTTACGGTCAGGGTTTCGGGGCGTTCAAGCTTCAGTTACCGGGAGGTTTAGGGCCTAGGGATTCCGGCTTAGGGGTTATATAGGGTTTAGGGCCTAACGGATTCCGGTTTAGGGCTTAGGGTTTAAATGCAAGGTTCTGGCCTTTTCAATCTCTGCTTCGGGCTCCGACTCCGATGCTTGAAGCCTAGATATATAATATAGGGGCCTTCATACTTAGAATAGGGTTTTGGGGCCCATTCTACTATTATTGTGCTAAGGAAACACCAAAATACTGTTGGTAGTTATTTTGGCTCCTGTATTACACCTCAAATCTCAAACCGCAACGCCCAAGGACCTTCAAGCGCTAAGTTCGAAAATCCAGAAGCCCCTACAAAACCCTAAACCCTAAACCCCTAAACCCTAAACCCTAAACCCCTAAACCCCTAAACCCTAAACCCCTAAACCCCTAAACCCTAAACCCTAAACCCCTAAACCCCTAAGCCCTAAACCGAAAGGAACCAACCGTCCGAGGAGGCTTTTCGGTCCAGCTTTCGATTGGTGGGCCGATAAGGGAGTTTCCGAAAATTAGGGGTACCTTGTTTGGAGGGCCTTATAATAAGGATCCTACTATTTAGGCTACTATATTGGGGTCCCCTATTTTCGGAAACTGCGATAAGGGTCTTGAAACTGCGTAAAACCTGGCATCGGCTAATATAGGGGCCTCAATAATTAGAATAGGGTTTTGGTGTATAGAAGCTATAAACAAAATAAGGAACATCCCAAAATAGTTTTGGTAATTATTTAGGCCCCTATAGTATGGGCTTTGAACTGCGTCAGCCTCGGGAACATCTTCCCCTCCCTTGCATCTCTTCTAGGTCTTGGTGAAGTGAAGAAATTTCGGGTTAGGGTTTAGGGCTTGGGTCACATAAGTTGCCATACTTAGATGTTTCCCCATCGTGACAACAAAATCCTCCTTTGCAATCTGTAAAACCCTTCATGCAAGACACCTGGAGCATTTACAACCCTGAAGCCCCACACTAACCCCGAAATATGCAAAGCTCTCTCGACCCGTAAACATGCCCAACACCTATGATTCCCTAATTCCCTGCTAGGCCCCGGAGCGACAGCGCCGTGATATACCTTTATAAACACCCACCTCCAACCCTAAAGCACTCCTGAACACTATAGGAGCCTTGAAAACTAGAACCATGGGTCTGGTGTTTCGTCAAGAAATGTAAGGAATGTTTGCAATACGGCACTCTGGGGTGTAGTAGCGGTACTTACTCAAGCTTCTATATGCCCTAAACTCCTAAACCCTACTCTATCTTTGCAGGTTCTCGTGACACACCCTAACATAAAGCTTATGGTTTAAAGGACTCACAGAGCAGTAGGTTGTGACAGTTCACGCTAAGCTCTACTACCGGAAGTTGTTCTTTCGCTTTGCCGCGGGCACTCTGTTCTCCTGTCCCCGCCTCAACCGCCACCTCCAAGCGCTGACCCAAGGAACCTCCAGACAAACCCGGCAAGGCAAAAAGAAAGGAAGGCCCATGGGTTTACAGGGTTTTGTAGGGCTTTATAGAGTTCCATAGGGTTTTATCGGGATCTTTAACGTTTTAGGAGGTTTTAGTTCCAGGGTTGGGATTCTTAAGTACAGCTGTTCTGGACTTGGGGTGTGCGGTCTAGGGCCCAGTTGAGGGGCTTTATAGGATTGCTATACGAGGCTCACAGGCCTCTATAGTCTGTTGGTCTATGGCAAGGTTCGTGAAAGAGATAGGACGCTTGGAATGAACAAAAGTTACCAAGGATGCCCAGCACAAGCACCCAACTGTAGATGCTGAAATAAGTAAGCATACCATGCCCTTCTAGTCCCTACCTAACTAAAGAATGGGATACTCCAACATACCCTGTTCTACTGATAAAGGCCACTATACTACCATCACATATGTCGACCTGAGCTTTACCCTGCACGTTCTTACATCATAGGGGGTAGGGGGAGGGGGGTGGGGGGCCCTAATGCCCGAAAGAAGGACCTAATCAGGCCTATCAAGAAACTATAGTCCCCTACCCCCTCCCCCCTACCCCCCTGAGGGCTCCTATGATACTACCATCTCATATGTCAATTTGAACTTTACCCTGCAAGTACCTCACAGAGGGAGCCCCGAAGAAGTTACTGAGAAGGCTGCCATTACTTTTGCCAAGAGGTTTGGTTAGAGTGAGCCCGAAACTCCCGAGGAAACTGCTCTCGGACATAGGGGCCCTAATGATTAGAATAGGGTTTTGGTGCCCATTATACCATATTTATAGTAAGGAACACCCCAAAACAGTATTGGTAATTATTTTGGCCCCTGTAGTAACATGTCCTGGCCTGGGGAAACGAAAGGGATCGCGAACTCCACTCGTAAGGACACCAAGGACGCGCCCCGGGGAAGCAAAAACGACCTCTGCAAGCTCAGGACTTAGCTGTCTCGCACTGCTATGTATGAGTGTCGGAGCTGCGATCCAAGATGACTACTGCTTTTGGCACCCGAAAACCTGACAACAACACGTTGTGCATTCTCCGAACGATTTTCAAGACTATTCGAGTTGCCTATCTTGCGTGGTTTGCATTCTTGCTGTTGCTGTTGCTGTGCTGTTGCTGTTGCTGCTGCTGCTGCTGCTGCTGCTGCTGCTGCTGCTGCTGCTGCGGTGCTGCTGCTGCTGCTGCTGCTGCTGCTACGGTGCTGGTGCTGGTGCTGCCGGTGCCGTGCTGGTGGCGCTCGTGGTGTTGCTGGTGTGGTCGTGGTGTTGCTGGTGGTGGTGGTGGTGATCGTGGTGGTGTTGCTGGTGGTGGTGGTGGTGGTGGTGGTGGTGGTGTTCGTGGTGGTGGTGGTGGTGGTGCTGGTGGTGGTGGTGGTGGTGGTGGTGGTGGTGGTGGTGGTGGTCGTGGCAGCGGCGTTCGTCGCTTATGCCGCGGCTCCGAATATAGATGGCCAACACATGCACTTACGAACAAAGCACTGAAGACACCGCAACACCACTGGTACTAGTAAGGTCAATGAACCATAAGCCTTAAACCCTAAACGTGTGAATGCTCCCTAAATCCCCAAGGCTCCGGATACCGTTATGCCCGGCCACTGTGTGAGATAGGCGTCGCCGAGCGCCCGGAAAGGATACACAGTCCTAAAGGCAGAAATGGGTTTAGGGTTTAGGCTTGTAGCTTATTGTACGGGCTTCTTACGATTATTGCTATTATGGCCATTGGGGTTTAAGGTGTAGAGAATCTCCTCCTAATCATGGGCGAGTCTTTGAAGAGAGATGGGGCTTCCAAAAAATATCCTCAAGAGAAAATTAAAATAGGGGCCTTAATACTTAGAATTAGCCTGGGGGTTACATTATTCTCTAAGAAAGTATACACACATAAATATATATATATATAGACACATGAATATAAAGATGTGTCTATGTGTGTGTATATATATATATATCTATACACGCTTATGTCAAGGCTTATTAAGGAACCCTCCGAAAGAGCATTTTCCTGATGGTGCTTGCCGTATGTTGCGGAAGAGGAAGCCACTCTCGTTTCTAGCAAAGCGCAGCAACAGACTTTCGCCAAGTCGCGATTCCTGCAACTTCGGTACGAGGGGAAAGCCTGCATGAGCTGGTTTAGGGTTTAGGGCTGTCGGTATCTGATTTCAGGGCCTGAAAAACATGACTGGAAAAGGGTTGCAGGTATGTGAGATCTGGTACTGCAGAAATACAGGGCTTATCTGGGGTTTGATCTTGCTGCTGGTTCCTACCCCAACATGGAGCAATGAACTTACCAGACAAGGCTTCCACTGTTGTCGCTGAGCTGAAAGATTCTGAAAGACGTGGGGCAACCCTAAAACCCAACCCTTGCGAGGCCCCAAAATGCCTTTTGTAGGACCATGAAACGCCCAGAACAGGAATCAACAATTGACAACAGGATGACTCTAGGCTCCGTCACCGACGAATAAACAGAAATCCTGCATCACGGCAGAAAAATTGCGACCAGACACTTGCCCCAAAGACTCTCGCCGTACGTTTACAATCCAACTACATTGGAGTTTCCGAAAATTAGGGGTAGCTTATTTTGAGGCCCTTATAGTAACTATTTAGGATACCATTTTAGGGTCCCCCTCGTTCGGAAACTTCCATATGATGCTTCCTTAAATTAAAAACCACTTGTTCATGAGGAGCTAATCTAGATTACCCTCATTCTGACTTCCAGACCCCTCTCGGTTTTTCAGCTGGGCCCTTGGTAAGGAACTTAAAGTTAAGTTACCAGAAAAGGAAACCAATATCATTTACTCCTGACGCCTATGACATGGCCATCTATGGTGACTTCTGTTACACTCCTTCCTCTAAACCCTCAATAAACCTTAAGAGGAGCCGTATGATCCCTATGATGGTAACTACAAATTTTCAGGCTACACTACGTTCCTGAAATAGATCACACGCCATCCTTGTCCATCGCCGACATAAAGGAGTCGTTGAGCTGCGACGGATTTGACCCAGACCTTCGCCACGAGAGAGGGTAGCGCCAGGCTGTTGACTTCAACGGTATAAAACCCTATTCCCCCAATAGTTCCCTTATAGTACCCTTATAGATCCCTTTAAAGGAACCCTTACGGTTTACGTGCGTAGGGCTTGCGGTGTTAGGGCTTCGAGGACCACACGGCGGGGCCTCGGGCACCCTAACATAGGAGCCTGAATAACCAACAAGATTGTTCCTTCAGGTTCCGCAGCGTATGTATACGGGAGTTTCCGAGAATTAGGGACACCTTATTTGGGGCCCTATCATAAGGATCCTACTATTTTGGGATCCTATATTGGGGCCCCCTATTTTCGGAAACTCCCATACTGTAATGCATCCCAAAAGCCTATTCCAAGCATTAGGGCTCCTACTACATCCTAGAACCTTCATATTAACACTTGCAGTATCCCTACTTCCCTTTCTGTAATTTTACAGGGAGCTTGAAGGGGACCCTGGGCTAGTTGCTAAGGCTACACTATACCACCGTTATAGTAACCTTTTGCTGTATCCCTTGAAAGAAGCCTTAAAAAAAGGAACCTTGAACCTTGTTCGAATATTTAAGGCCTCAACCTTAACACCCTACAGTATATAACCCTTGCAGTATCCTTTCAAGGGAAACCCTCAAGGGAACCCTATTCTAACTATTAAGGCCCATAATATGTTAAATGCGAAGACCCTGAAAGCCTCAACACCCACAGGACCCAGGCCCGAAATATGGTTCAATTACCCATCACTTTCAGGCTTTTTGAGGGTTGAGGGTTTCAGGCTCTACTGTAGCAACATCCGAAACTTTAAGGTTTAGGGTCTAGGCGTGGCGTTTCAGGGTTCTCGGTTCAAGGCTTGGGTTTATGGGCCTTCATCGTTGGCACACAGGATATGTTCTTAGTGGGGTCTGTAGAGGGCTCCATCGGGTTTGCTGGTAGAGTAGGGTTTCTACTAAGGGTTCTGTGAGGGTAGCTGTACGGGTGTAGTATGGGGGCCCGGATGCCGGTACTGTTTCGTGATTCTCAACTTATAGGCACGAAAACCCTGAACCCTCTCCACATCGCAAACCCAGCTAAACGTTCACTAAAACCTAAGCCTCAAGCCCTAAACAAGCTCTGTAAATCCTGATCTTAGTTCACTCCCAAGCCCCAAGAGAAACCCAACTCAAAAACTGCTTCAAGCCTAAACTTGATCCTCGAGGCAACTCAAAGCACTCCAACCCCTTGTGATGCTCTTCCCGCACTGAAAGATGTCCGTGGGCAAACGTGTAGAAAATGAAGGTCATGTGCTTATACATATGTACAAACCAACAATGCACACATGCACACATGCATCCATACATACATACATAACTACATACATACATACGTAATTACGTAATTAGACATCCATCCATCCATCCATCCCATGCACATGGGCCTTCTTCTCGAAACCCGTTCTAGTAACCCCATGACAGGGAGCCCGTTTTTAGGTCCGATATGGACAGGAGGTTTAGGGCTTAGGGTTCAGGATCTATAGGGCTTAGGGTTTAGGGTTCGGGCGCGTGCGAGGTTCGGGTTTGCTGTTACAGATTTAGGCAGAGGGTTGTGCAAGTATACTGCTTCGAGAGGCGCTAGACCCTGAACTCTAGAGCGCCTCGAGATGCCAGATGTTCTGATCACCTCAGCCACAGCTTGAACACCATCGGGTGTTTGTAGCCTTTTTGACAAGGCGCCAGTGTGCTCACAGTGTTCACACCAATTATAAACTGAGGAATACCTGCGTCAAGGTTTAGGGGCGGACTAAGCCACAAGCTTCCCTTAAACTATAACTGAAACCCTGGAAATCCGACGACTAGTAGGCGCCACTTCCGCTTGAAACCCATGAGCCCAGAATCCTGAGCCGGAACGGCGCCATGTCAACCCCTATAATACCCCTATAACACCTTGTTCGGAAAAACTTACAGAACCCCTCAACCAAAAACACCTAGACTAGAAGATCACCAAAGTTTGGTCCCGGGGCTGGGCGGCTCAACGATGGGGCTCTGGGCCGTCACTGCGAAGGCGTAGCTGCGCTGGCCTGTGTAGATCGGGTTTGGGAGCACTTGGGCTTGCGGCTCTTGAAATAAGGATCAGGGATTAGGATTTAAAATGAAGTTGGATCAGGATTTATGGTAACGTTGAAGCGATTGGCACCGGGGCTGCGGGCCGCGAGCACTTGTTGTGTAGAATGTGCTGGCAGCAAGCAACTTTTCATCAACCGGTACTATAGGGGCCTTAATTATCTTATACTATAATTATGAAATTGGAACCCAAGGGAATAGTATTCTTCTTCTTCTTCTGCGGACAGTAGTGCCGTTGTTACGGCGCGTCCCAAAAATGACGTGCTACAAATTCTGGTGAGACTGAGGGATGGCTTTTTTAGCCAAAAACGGCAGGCAGTTTCCCGTGACCCTTCCACACTAGCTGCAGCCAGGTGCCGTTCGACCCAGGCTACATCGCTCTCTCGAGGGACAAAGCCAACCCTAAGGGCGGCAATATCAACCTCTTCGGTGTGAAAATTGGCAGGCCTCCGCTCCTCTGACGTGGGAATCCTTGGCCCAAAAGTCAAGGGGGCGAGGCGAGGCCCGGGAAGGGCTTGAAAGGACTGCCACTGGCCTGAAGCAACAAGTCGGTTGCGCTGCCGGCTCGGAGCTTCAAGGCGTCGGACTTCCTCGATTGGTAGCGGAGGGATAAGGTGGCAGGCCCGACGGAGGCAATCAGGCGCATGCCGCAGATGCATTTGGACTTGCTCAACTGTTCTGAACCACTTGAGGCACGAGATACATGTTTCGGAGATGGCGAAATGTCGTGCAGGGGTGTACTGCCGGTGCGAACGCGCCATATGAGCATGCAGATGCTTCCGAAGGCAGGGAATAGTATTGTTAATTATTCGGGCTTCTACAGTACCGTAGGGTTTAACCCTGTCTTGAGAGGCCATTCCTGCAAGACCCAGATTCCGCACTCCAAGAATCAGCCCCATATCTGACTCCCTCAGAACATGCTCGAGATCCTAGACCCCACGAAAGTTTGACTAGCGTTGTGGGGGTGTATGAGAGTTATATAGGGATTGCATTGAAGCAAGCAATGTTACCAGTTATTCAACCTTCAAGATTATTTGGGTTTAGGGTTCAGGGCTCTAGGGTTCATCATCAGGTACTACCCGAAGAATCTCCAAGCCTTACGGTGTCAAGTGCATGACGATAGACTGTTTAAGCTCCTACAGTCTAGGTAGAATAGGGCTCCGGGGTGTGCGAAAATCATATAAGATAATCAGAAGCCCTACGGACGAATACGTGTGATCAATCTGCTTCGATATTGCCTTGCCGAAGCACCTCAAACACAGACCAAAACCCTGGACGCTGAAGCCGCACTCATGAGTTGCTCAACCCATAACCCACCACCCTTTCACGAACCCGAACCCCTCGAGGACCTGCAACCCTAAACCCTGAGCCCTAAAGCCTACACTCGAAGCCCAAGAACCCCAGTTACCCTAGTTTCTCTTCAAACAGCCGACCGAAACAAACGGCTTGTAATGATCAGGGATCTCGAACAAATTAGCTGTGGAAACCCTATAAACTTTCACTAAAGTTCAAGTGCCCACCCTGTCTGGACCTCAAAAAATGTAGAAAACCTCGGCGCCAAACTGCAAAAAACTCACAAGACTCAGCCCAAGCTGTGCTTGGCAAGGCCTTTCAGCGCGCCCGGCAGCGTGATGCGGATCTCCGGGCCTCCGCCCGGAGTCGCCGCGAGGGAGCAGCCTCGGAGAGGGACTCCCCCGGCCTTTTTGGTATGGGTAGTTCCGAAAAATAGGGGTATACCTTATTTTGACAAGGATGCTACTATTTAGGGTACTATTGTAGAATCCCCTACCTTTGGAAACTCCCACATGGGTAGTTCTCTAAACTAGGGTCTTCTTAAGGGCTCGTTTTGTAAGGGTGCCGTATTATGTTTCGCGGATCTGAAAAGGGACCCCTGCAGGGGCCGTAATGATTGGAATTGGGGTTTGGGGTATATGATCGTATAGTATACGGGGATAGGATTATATAGTAACTATTCAAGCCTCTATGTTATTGATCTGGGGTGCGGGCTCTGCAGGTCTACAAGGGTCCTTAATCTAAAACGGTTGAGAATGATGAGAGGTTCCAACCAAAGAGAATGGTCTTTTTGAAAAGGTTTTACCTATTCCTTAAGGATACTGGTTGTGCGAGGGTGTGAACGCTGCAAATGCTTTGAATGAGGGTTCGTGTTGGGACCCTTTCACAGCGGGATCCTGTCACTTGGAATCATTTGAGAGCGAAAGACAGCTCAGCTTCTGTACGTCCACTATTCCACCGCCATAGAACCCTATATGTAAGACCCTTCTGAATTTTCGCAAAATTCTCGGCAAAACTGTGGTAAAGCTATAACTTAACACTGAAACCCAGAACCACCCCCTCCCCCCCTCCAGGCCCACCCACACAAAGCGCATTCTCAGGCCCTTGCCGGCCAAAGGCGGCAGCGGAATCGCCATCTGCGGCCACGGCGCATCGTCTGATGGATGCTTGTCACCACCCGAAGGTTGGTGGGGATTTTCCGGTTTGAAAGGAGGCATCAGAAAGTAGAGGCCTTTGATGCACGAAGCCCAATAAGCACCCCATAACAACCTATGACACCCGGTAAGAACCCTGACAAACACAAAAACGGCTTATTAGATGCGTATAGTATAGTAGCATAGCACCGTATAGTATATAGTATATAGTATATAGTATATAGTATATAGTATATAGTATAGAGTATATAGTATATAGTATATAGTATATAGTATATAGTATATAGTATATAGCATATAGTATACAGTATACAGTATACAGTATATAGTATATAGTATATAGTATATAGTATATAGTATATAGCATATAGCATATAGCATATAGCATATAGCATATATATATATAGTATATATAGTATATATAGTATATATAGTATATAGTATATATAGTATATATATATATAGTATATATAGTATATATAGTATATATAGTATATATAGTATATAATATATATATATATATATATATATATATATATAGTATAGTCTAGCATAGTAATGTAGTATTAGGAAGGACTGCCCTTGCGGACCGGATGGGCCTTGGACCTCCGCCCAGGCCCTCGGCAACGCTGCGAGAAGCGCGGTGGGCAGCGCCGATCGGCCCTCCTTTATTGGCGGCAGGGCTAAGAGGTCTGTTGGGGTTTAGGGTGCTTTCAGGCTTAGGGTTGGGAGTTTATAGGGTTTAGGGTTTAGTTTCGGGAGGCTGCTGGAGTGTTGGAGGGGTTGGGGTTCAAGTGGCTTTGGTTGTTCAGAGTTGAAGTACTTTAACAGGACTTACAGGATTGGTTGTGCCCTTGCATCCGAAACGCTTTCGGAAGAGTTCTCTGGATGCTTGATGCTTGTTGATCGACGCACGTCTCTTGTGCTCAACCGAAGCCACCAAAGCACCCTCCTTGAAACCAACGTTGGATGCATGGGGTCCAAGAATAGTTTTGGGTTTTGCGGGTTGATTTCAGGGCCCATTACCACTCTTGGGTGCTGCATGTTTTGGAACCACCCTGAGCCGTGAGGAAACCACGGGAACCCTATTTTGGAAAAAGACCTGAGCCAGGGCTTAAGCATCGCGCAAAACCGAAACCACGAGCTCCAAAATCCGAGCCTTCAAAATCAAGGCTGAACCCCGAACTCCTACACCTAAACTGCCCTAAACCCTAAAGACCCTGTAAACCCCAAACCCTAAATCCTAAACTGCCCCAAACCCTTAACCCTAAAGACCCTAGGAACCCTAAACCCTGAACCCCCAAAGAGCCCTAAGCCCTAAACCCTCATTACACCCGAAAATTCATGCCATCGCTTGACGCTCCTCGTTGGCAGCGTCGAAGTGCTCGCAGGTGCTGTTCGCGGGAAGGAGAAAAGCCGAGGGCGGGTGGAGGCGCCTGGGACAGGTGCGTCAAAGGTTTTGGGCTGAGGGTCTATAGGGCTACGAGTTTCTAGGGTTTTGGGCCAATATAAGGTTTAGTAAAGGGCTATTTTAGGGCTTTAGAGTCTGCAGGGCTTGGGGTTTAGGGTTACCCGGATCTAGCCTGGTTTTAAGGTGCTGGCTCGGACTTTGCTGGTGAGGCGCAGCACCTCGGTATTCTCTTCCCTGGATGTTGAAATCCTTACCCGGATCTAGCCTGGTTTTAAGGTGCTGGCTCGGACTTTGCTGGTGAGGCGCAGCACCTTGGTATTCTCTTCCCTGGATGTTGAAATCCGTCCCAGGGAGCCCCATGCCGCCCTCAGTCTTTGTATTCTATGGATGCATGTATGTACACCTGCATGCATACATGCATATATATATATATTGTTTATATTTATATTTACTTATTTTTATTGATATTTAAATATACTTATATACACATGGTATGTTACATATACTCATGCATATATGTATGGGTTGTGCGCTTGAACCGGGTTTGCACCTGCAAGCCGTATCAGGGACCTCTGTAATGCAACATATCTTGAAGGCCTCAGCATTTTCCAAATTCTAAGCCCCCTCCCCAACAACATGTATATATATATATATACACATATGTATATACATATAGATATAACCTATAACCCCCAACCCTAAACCCTTAATTAACCCCATAACCCTAAATCCTATAAGCCTATAACCCTAGGCCCCATAGACCCGTATCCCTATGACCTGCAAACTGAAAGAACTGAGGAGCAATTCAGTTGAGGCCAACAGCGGTGTGTCGGAGGCAAAGATCACCAACACGGCCGCTGTCTTAGCAAGGACATGGTTTGGGGTTTAAAGGTTGGGTGTATCTTTGCAATTGTGTGAATCTTGCTTTCTGGGCGTTTCAGACTTTTGGGCTTTGGGCTTTGACTCTTGCGCTTGTTGTCTGTGGGTACAAGAGCCTGAATGCAGAAGCAAGGGTTCAGGGTTTAGGGTGCTTCGGAGTGACAGAAACCGAAACTTCGGCGTTACAGAACTCTGATAGCCATGTATGGTTTTGCAGACTGTCGGGATCTGCTGTCTTCGTACCGTCCTTTTATGCCGTCGCCGATGCCTCCAAGGCAAGCGACGGACCAAGATGTTCATTGTTTAGGGGATCTGGCAACTTCGGGTGTGGGGGCTTTGCCCCAGCCCCGAGCCCACCCAAAAAGACAGTCATACGCACGTTTATACTGGGCTCTGCAATACGGGTATTTATACAGTAGCCTTGACGAATAAATAAAATGATGCTGTGGCGGCGGAGTCTTGTTGCTTCGTACAAGGACAATAAGGGTATATTGTTGCGAATATTGCCTGTCTTAAGCCTCGACCTACAGCGGAATTGCCGAGAGCCCTGATGACAAGCATCTCACTCAAAGCACAACTCTTGTCCGGCTAGGAACCACAGTAAGCATAATGTACACCCCTCCCTGATTGATAAAGCCTTCCCCCCAGTATATGGATGTAAGTAGGAATCTTATGCAGAATGGCGGCTTATGCATCAAAGCTTTTCAGAATCGCTTTGAACTGCCTTCCCAAGGACTCATCCATCACAAGCCCTACGCTATTGCTCGGATAGTCCAGGGCTTAGGTTTGGACTGCGATGATGACTTTCATGACCGAGCACGGAGTCCAAGTAAACAAAAGCCCAACATCTACAATAAATGCCCCGATGTTTCATCAATGTTAAGACAAGACTCCTGTTCTCAAGATGACAAGGACATCTGGATAGATCACGCACCACCCCTGGGTTTCACAGACCTCGAGATTTGTCCCGTAAGCCAATGTAACTGGGACACCAAAGGGTTTAGGGTTTAGGGGTTTAGGGTTTAGGGGTTAGGGTTTAGGGGTTAGGGTTTAGGGGTTTAGGGGTTTAGGGTTTAGGGTCGTGACTTGAAGTGAAGAGCTTCTCAGGTCACATGCTGACGCGGGGGCCTAAAAATGGCCGAAGCCAAGACTCCCCCGCAAACTTGCTGTCATAAGTAATTAGGTATATACTCTACGGTACTATATCCCCCTCCTGAACCCGGAACCCATCCTAAAACCCAACACCCTCGATCCCAAAATCCTACACCTCAAAGACTTCGAACTAGAGACCCCACGCCGAAGTCTCAAGAGAGCACTCGGAAACCCCAACTCCAAATTCCCAAGCATACCCTGAGCCCCAAACGCCAAAACCCTGAAACGCCTGGCACCCTAAACCCCTAAACCCTAAAACCTGAACCCTATACTCCAAAATAGGAACATACAGAACTACCATCCGGATCCCTAATATCTCCAAACCGGCAATGCTCAAAACCCTCACGCCCAATGCAAACCGAACAGAAGGGACGGCCCGACAACAGTTGGCTGCACTCTGTAGGAACCTGATTAAGAAACCCCGGGCCTCTAACCCCAAAATACGAGGGTTCATATAAGGAACCCTAATAAAGGCCCCAGGTTTCTGAATCAGGTTCCTACGTTATGTAAACCCGTATAGAAACCCAACAGCAGCCGCATAAAACACTATGAAATTGCGCAAGGACATAGGAAAACCCCCATACGACCCCGTATCATAGAACTTGAAGATACAAAAACCTGATGCGAACCAACATCTAACAAGCAAAAACGTAATCTTTCTTATACAAGACTTATTGAAGAAACACGTTGTACAAACCCTACAATGAATCTAATACTCTTCAGCCCTACGAAAAATCTCACAAAATCCAGTTTACCCAAGGTAAACAAACAGAGCAAAGCTCATAAAGCCCAGTTTTTAATTTTCGAGTACTCAAAGTCCCTAAACCCTGGACCTGAAACACAAACCCTAATATAGGGGCCTCAATAATTAGAACAGGGTTTTGGGGCCCATCATATTATCATTTTAATAAGGAGCCCCCAAAATAGTGTAGGTAATTCTTCAAGCCCCTATATTACCACGGCCCGAAAAACCGACGCCCAGCTGCCCGGTCCGCGAGCGGCCGTGCAGGCTCCGTGCGCAGCGCCAGGAACCTGGGCGAAGGGCGAAGGTGCAGGCTTTAGCTAGTTCATGGTTGGGATAGGTTTAAAAATTCACCTTTTTATTCCTCATTGGGTTTAGGTACCCATGAAAACTTAAAATGTTACCCAACTTTGACAAAGTTAGGGTGTATAGGGCTTAGGGAAAACATCTTCATTGCCTTGCTGGTGCGGATGTCCGAGTCTACGGGTGAACACAAATCCACTTGTCAAACATACATGACAACCAGTTTTGAAAGTCGATCTGCGAAGTAGGGTTTCGGATTTACCTGACCCCCAAATAACCTTCCTCTTTGGGGATCCTCATGCTGATTCACATGTAGCAGCCCTCGAAAATTAATAACCTCCCGTTTTGGGGGCTCCTTCGAGTGATTTCCTCATATAAGATCTTGACAAACTCGGGCTGTGTAGTCTCCAGGTACGGTTTAGGGTTCGAGCAGTCTCGAATTGAGCCGCATGCTTCAGCATCGAAAATCTAGCCACCCTTTTGGAGCCCATGGCATTAAGACCATGTCTTACTTGTCAAACATGCAATTGTTCAAAGCCCATCCGCAAACAGGAAGCCACATTCTGGGTCTCAGCAGAAGCATACAATTCATATCTCTAGCTCACTCCGGTCATTCTACCGCAGTACACTTACCCAGTAAACCCTAAACCCTCAACCCTAAACCCTAAACCCTCAACCCTCAACCCTAAACCCTAAACCCTAAACCCTAAACCCTCAACCCTAAACCCTAAACCCTCAACCCAAACCCCTGACCCCTAGACTTCCGAACACCCAGGCGCGGCAGACGGCCGCCCGCAAAGACGAAGCTGGGAGCAGCCCCGGCGTCCAGCCTGGAAACGAAGGCATGGGGGTTCCTCTATGGGATCTATGGGGGTTCCTTTACGGGCGCCCTGGGTTTCGAGTTTAGGGAATGATTAAGGGTTTAGTGTTAAGGGTTGAGGTTTGGGAGTCGGATTAGATCCTAAGCTAAGTTGACGAGCGTGCATGACTAGGATGAGGGTAGAACTTGTACCCTGAAGGCTAAACCAATGTAGTAGATTGATACAGAGACGGCGAAGCGATACTACCATCTTATCCAGACATGGGCATTAAATCCTTGGCCCTAGGCTTTGCTCATGCCGCTTTTGCTTTTGATCTTGCTGTGGGACTTTCAAAACAACCAGGGATCCCAGTACCATACACTATATGGTAGGGTTTGATAGGGTTTAGGAACCGTAAACCCTAAACCTTCGTAAACTAGAGGGCCAAAAGTGCTTAAACCCTAAACCCAAAGCCCTAACCTCCTAAACCCCAAACCGACAACTTCTAGGACCGAAGAAGGCGGCCGAAGCGCAGCTCGCCAGCATTGAAGCTTTGGAACTCGAAGGGCTGGGTGTTGTTTGCCTGCACTGCGGTTTAGGGTTTAGGGGTTTAGGGGTTTAGGGGTTTAGGGTTTAGGGGTTTAGGGTTCAAGGCCTGGGGCTTAAATCCGAGGCCCGATACCCTGAAACCTATTCCCTGCAAGCTCTAAACCTTGAACCGTTCATGGCCTACGGTTCTTGGGAGGTGAAGGGGATCGTCGAGTTTCTGCTTGGGTTTTGTAAGGGCATCAGACGGACTCTTTTGGGCTTGTGAAGCTTCTAATGGGGGTGGGATAAGGGTTTAAGCCCTTTAACGCATTACGATTATGAGGGATCCAAAACTCAGGGTGTTGGGTTTGGGGCTTTGGGGCTTGAGGGCTCTTTTGGATTCAATCTGTCGGCTCTTCGGCTTTAACTGAAATGGTTTCAACCTCTGTAAGTAAGCAGTATACCTAAGGTCATGTCCAGGATCCATTTGGGTAGTTGTCGACCCATGTACAGCCCTTATGAAGCCCTTAAGCAAACCCTTCTCAACACCCTTCAACCCTAAACCCCCAAACCCTAAACCCCTAAACCCACTAAACCCTAAATCCTGAACCCCTAAACCCCTGAACCCTAAACACCCTAAATCCTAAACACCCTAAATCCGACACAGGCCCTGAACCCAAACTCCGCCCGCCCCAGAAGCGGATCAGCATTCGCCTCCTCTGGGTTCGCAACCTCCAGCTGGAAGGAGTAGCTGGTCCCTGGTATACTACGAGGTTCATGGGTAGTGACAGGGGTTCCTTTAAGGATATAAGGGGATCTATAGGGATTCTACAAGGGTATAGGGTTTAGGGCCTACTTGGAGGTTCATGGGTAGTTATCAGTGGGGGTATAAGCTTATAGTTATAGTTACCCTACTTATAACACCACTTATAGCTGCCCATGAACGTCCAAGTAGGGTACTGTAGCAAGAGCAAAGGCTGTATAGTGGTTCCGCTTGGGGTTCCATTTGTAGGGTAGAGACCACGACTACTATACGGAGTTAATACAAGGCTTTAGGGCATACTCTATTAAGGACGGTAGACCCTATGACGACCCGGTTAAGGGGTGTTTACGATGGTTAAGGTTTAGGCTCAACGTCTCAAGGTTTGTGGAACTTGTTGATCACGCGTTTGTAGTCTTCGGTATTTGTATGTTGAGCTACTTTGCAGTCTCTGCACGGGCGAAGCTGCGAGGTTTCGGCCCTAGGACTTGGGCACTGACTGTAGGGCTCCAGGCTTTGGGGCTTCGTGCTTATTTTTGAATGTTTCGGGTAGAAGCCCTCCTGGTTCAGTACCACCGGTTGAAGAAGGAGTGTCTTGATAATTAGACTAAGGTTTGGAGGTAGGTTATAGTTAGAATATAAGAAAGAACCCCCACAATTATTTAGGTAATCATTAAGGCCTGTAGAGTAAGTTCAGCGGGTTGCTTGGTATGATTTAGGGTACGGCACCTGTAGAAGACTGGGGCTCTCTGGGTCACCGGTCGGGGGGGGGGGTTTCAGTAGTGCAGCACATGTGAAGTCATCAAGCCCACAGAAGATGGGGGCCGTAGCAATTACCAAAACAACTTTGGGGGTTCCTTATGATAACCATAATATGATATACCCCAAAACCTCTGTCTAATTCATAAGGCCCCTATGCTACCTCCCAAGTGACATCATGTTGGTACAGTATCCTTTTCTTCGCGGGGCTCTACCGCTCTACCTCCCTGGCGACGCGGTGCGAAACCCAGATATTCCAGAAGAGCTGACATCCGTTGAGCCAGAACATGCGATAGCGGAGCGGCACGAACCGGTAGTTCACTGCCTGGTATATGGGTACCACAGTCAGGGCATTGAAATACAAGCGCGGAAAGTCAGAGAAGAGCTTTGACTGCACTTCTTCCCGTAGCTGCTGAACCGAACCACCTGCAGCTTCAAAGACTCCCAGCGTCTTCAAGGAAGCTGTCGCCGTCATGTTGCAGGCAAGGTATACAGGCGCGATCGTGCAGCTCTCTAGCAGAAGCTTCTGATACCAAAGCCGCCGCCCGGGGAAGATTCGCTCGATTATCCTTACGACCCCAATAAGCCACCGAAACAAAAGGCTAAACTGTCAGATTCCTACTAAACTGTAAGAACCCAAAAGGATTCAATTTATGTAGTGGAGATCTGAGTTTCTGGTACCACACGTGGAACATTGGGGCCATTACCAGTCCGCCGACGAAGGCGTATCGCAGAGCCCGGGCCAAAGAGTAGTCAGACGTCAATTCCTGCGATCTTAGTGGTGGTTTAGGGCAGTTTAGGGTTTAGAGCTGAATACTTATCTACAACTTACCTTAATCGGGATCCGAAGCAAACAGCCAAGCAATTAGCATGGATTCCTCAAAAATGGTGACTTAAAGACTTAAACTCTGTTCCTTAACAGAAGCCAAGATTCATAGATGTCTCGTCCAGCCTGTGTTCCAGTGTCTCGGTTGGATGCTCCTTTCGAACACCGCTCCGCCAACTGAGCCGCACTGTCTGCCAGGAAAAAGGTGCCCGAGGACACGGCAACACTGTGCGCGAAAGCGGCCGACATGCGCTGTACCACTTGCCACAAAACGAAGGGAACAAGTCTGCTTGTATATACAAAGTGGAGCCTTTTATGACTCCAGATCGGTAGCGTGGGAGCTTCGTGAACCCGGGCTTCTCGAGAGATTGTGGTACACGTCGCCTCTGGCCTGAATCCTTGAGACTTGTCTCCGGGAACTCCCTCACTTTAAATGCTTTGCTCTAGGTCGTCCTTCTTGTTAAAACCATTATACTTACTACGATCAAACAGATGTAGCGTTCTTCATGGCTTCGTCGTGTCTGCTATTCATTCCTCGTAGAAGACAGTTGTGAGCTCGACCCTGCTAGGTAAGGAGACCGCATGTGATTCTGTGCTCTGAAGCCCAGACAGCTGGCTCGATTTGATAGAGGCGCTCCCAAACCCCATGCATACCCTAAAGGGACTTGAACGACTCCGGAACTGCTTCCTTACACTGCAGTAGGATTCCTTCTGGGAGGCTCATGTGTTGAGGAATTGTGTCATTTCCGGTGATCGTCGTGGAACAATGGGGAGGACATCAGGAAGCCGCCCACGTGGCAAACCTGGCGACTCTAGTCACGAAGGTCAACACCAGATATGGCAAAGACGCCACACTTGGATCCTTATCATCTGTATTTCAGTCGTCGCAGGTATATAGCTTGCTATTGCAGAGAAGATTATTGACACTTTGTTCAGATAAAAACGATGACATGACAAGCGCACTAGCGACACTGATACAGGCAGGAGTCGCAGCCACGGTACCCAACATATCCACAACAATCATCAACCACAAGATGGCGGCATACCCCTCATGATGGTCAGCATCAACAAACGAACTAATACGAATAAAATGGGCGTGCATAGGCAGGAGGCATAACCTTACATCTTGTTGCCGCTGCAGCAGAAATACCAGCAGCGGCAGTAGCAGTAGCGGCAACAATGTCAGGAGCAGGAGTACAGGTAGCAGCGGCAGCAGCAGCGGCAGGAGGAGCAAGAGGAGGAGGACGACGAGGAGGAGCAGCAGCAGCATCAGTAGTATCCGTAGCAGCATAGTGAGACAAACAATCATACCCCCGACCGTGTCGACACTGTGAGGAAAACAACAGGTCGAAACCGCCTTAGAGCAAGGATGCTCAAGCCCCAGGATGCCAAAATTGTGGGGTTTCGGGCTTCAGGGCGGCTATCTCTCCAAACCATTAAACGCTCAACGCTCTAAGCTGCGAGCCCCGAAGCCCGAATAATGCCCTTATAGCACCCCGGATAGCCCTGTTTAGCATCCCTGGCCTGCTTGCAGCCGCTCGGTGGTCAAACGAAGTTCCCCAGCCTCTGAAGGACCGATCTTAGTGGCAAGGCCTATAGTAAACCCTTGCAGGGTACTGTGGCTTTCCTCCCTCCAGTACTTTCGCCAAGCAGTAACATAGTTTCCGTGTGGCATACCGCAAGATAATACTATGCCTGCGATATTGAAGTACGTGGCATACAAACATGCGTATATATGTGTGTACACATGCACACACAAACAAAACGACTGGGCAGTAGTCTGGTATAGTGCTGGTTTGAGTTCGGCATGACATCCTGTACGGCTTTTGAATAAAACCTTTTTGTTCCTTCAGGCTCCTTGAGAAAAAGCATCCTCCTAATCCTCGATATTGCACGTGCCCAACTGTCAGTCTTTCTTTAGCTAAGTTTCAAAGCAGAAGCGCCCCAAAACAGGGTACTGCCTCTTTCCACAACAGCCCTAAAGCCAGTAGCAGGGGCCAGAGCATGTTTATGAGAACTTGTCTTGAGATGGTGCTCATGAGCATGTCTGTCTGAGTAGTTGTCCATTGCATATGTGACGATGTAAAGTGCAGGGAATAAACCATGTTTATGTTCATTTCACAAGCCACGAACCTCTCAACCCAAAACCCCAAACCCTAAACCCTAAACCCAAAACCCCAATGAACCCCCCCCCCCTCCCCCCTTCGACGCGTTGCCTGCGGATCGCACGTGACCGTGAGGACAACGAGCCCGGCTGTCGGATCTCGGCTCTGTTTCATTTCTAGTTTGGGTTTAGGGTTCACTTAAAGTTCTAGTTTGGGTTTAGGGTTCACTTAAAGTTCTAGTTTGGGTTTAGGGTTCACTTAAAGTTCTAGTTTGGGTTTAGGGTTCACTTAAAGTTCTAGTTTGGGTTTAGGGTTCACCTAAAGGGAACTCCAGAAAGTTGGAATATGGATTAATGGTAGGATGCCCTATAATTTACCTTAAAGGGGTTACGATAATGATATTCCAACTTTCTGGCTTCTACTGTAATGGTTTAGGGCTGAGGGTTCCTATTCGAATTTGCTTCCCTGTACGGCTCACTTTAGCAGCTTTAGCTTTTGGGGTGTGGGGTTTAAGTGTTGAGTTTTACACGGGCCGTCAGTGTTCAACTACCCAGGCCACCATCTCAGATGCCCAGATCTACTCAAGCTGAGTAATCCAGGAACATCCTCCAAACTCCTACCCTTTCTACACCTTACCCTTCCTGTTTGGGGGATCTGCCCTCTTCATGGTGTCTTTAAGCCCCTCAGACCGAGAATGCGCACTATTCTTGAACAGCACGGTGGGTTCATCATATAGGTGGTTGTCAAAATTATGGTCCCCTTTTTGGGTCCCTATTATAGTACGGCACCTACTGTATTATTTAGGGTTCCCAAAAAGGGACCATAATTTTGATGACCACCCATATAACAATAGTTCCTAAGGAGAACCAAGCTGTTGGTTGTAAATCCAAGTCCGGCGCGCCCCGATCCGATCCCTTGCCAAGATGCAGACACTTTCCCTACTTGAAACACCGACTAAGCCCGCGACCCTGAACACTCAAGCTAGACCCATAAATTTGTCTTAATCACAAAACTTCAAGTCCGAACGCCCCCGCCCCCTGTGCGGCCATGGGACAAACAGAGCACCGAACCTCTCCGCTTCAAAGGCTTCGGAGCGAAATTTGCAATGGGAGCTCCAAATCCAAGAAAGTTTCTATGTATTGGGTACTCACGAAGTTGATCTTTCCAGTTCATGAAGATATCTATACTGGCTGTAGGGTTGAGGGGTGCAGGTTCTGTATGCGAGTTCAGGGTTCAGGTTTTACGGGCTTTCTGACGGTCTCGAATGCCAGGAGGTCCTCAAGTAATCTCATAACAACAAGCACTGGTGTTAGTTTGGACATGGCAGCCGTAAACTCTGAACCAATAACCCTGAAATCAGGCAACCTCTTCATACGACTCATAAAGGAGCCTTGAAAGGAACGGCGAAACCCCGAGATAGGCTCAGACCTGAACCCCAAACCGTGAAATCAGAACCCTACACACTAAACCCTATACCCCCGAAGCCCTAAAACCCCAAAACCCCGAAATCCTAAACCCCTAAACCCTAAACCCCTAAACCCGAAACCCTAAAACCCTAAACTCCTAAAGCCCCGAAACCCTAAACCTAAGCCCGGGCACCTCCGGCTCTCCCGTATGCGTGGCGGTGGTGGTCGTGGCCGTGGTGGTGGCGTTCTCGTCCGCCGGCAGGGAGCTTCCTGGTTTTGGGTTTAAGGCAACAACTCGGGTTTACGGTTTTAGGGTTTGAATTACGGTTTCGGGTTCAGGGATTCAAGCTTGTTGGCCTTAGTGTGAAGGGTTTTAGGGTTCAGAGGTTTGCATTGAGTACTACACCCTACCAAAAACGAGGACAGTGGCGCAAAGACCCGAGCAAAGCCCGATGATCTCAGAGGGCTGAGATCTTCGGGCTTTGCTCTGAGCACTTGGAGGAGGTTTACGGTTTAGGGTTTTAAGGCAGGGTTTAGGCTTAGGGCTTTAGGGTTTCAGGGTTTCGGGTTTCGGGAGGGATGAGGGGGTATGGGCTTGGAGGGATCAAGGTTTTGGGGTCATTAGGGGTTGAGGTTTAGAGTTGAGGGGCCTTGGGATATGGGGGTGCAGGCTCTCAGGGCTTGGGGGTGTAGAGCTCCAGTGGTAAAGGGGTTTAGGCCAACTTGAACATGACTTTTGGTCATCAGCTACCGTTTTGAGGGCTTACATAAGGAAACCATCGGAAGCCCTAAGATGCCCTGCAAAAGTAGGTAAGTAGGCCGCATCGGGCCCATGCAAACCTTGAAAATGCTAAGCCCTAAACCCAAACACCGCAAAGCCGTGCACCTCAAAACCCAAAACCCTAAACCCCTTCAAATAAACTTCTCGAAGCCCTCAACAAAGGCCAGAGTCCAAACCGTTCCACGCACAAGGAAACGTCCGAAGTCCCAAGAACGAAACGCCCTGAACCCAACTACCCCAAAGCCCTCTACCCAAAAGGGCTTAGGGATTGCGGTTTGGGGATTAGGGTTTAGGGATCATGATTCAGGGATTAGGGTTAGCAGTTTAGGGATTAAGCACACCAATCCGTCCTGGAGCCGAAAAATGGCGAAGCAGAGGAAACCGGAAGCCCGACGCCAGCCGAAAGAGCAAGTCGCCCCCTGCCAGAGGATTGAGGGGCGTCTTTCGTGGCTTCAGAGTTCACCTCTACCTGTTATTTTTGGTTCCCTACACCGTCGATCTTAAACAGAAAGTAGCTTGTGGTAGCTCAACAAAGGGTGTAGGATTCTATAAACCCTTTGCTCTTAACAACCCCCTGACTCTCTCTCTCCCTGTCCCTCTCTCTCTCTCTCTCTCTCTCTCTCTCTCTCTGTCTCTCTCTCTGTCTCTCTCTCTCTCTCTCTCTCTCTCTCTCTCTCTCTCTCTCTCTACATATACATATACATATATATATATATGTAAACACTAAACAAAAATTAAATGAATACTAACTCCTACAGAACACCCATTTTGAGGGCTTGTGTTGTGCAGGTTTTTGTTTTGCCCTCGAGTTCACCGTGAGGTCGGGGATTCTCGAGGGGTATGGGTTCCGAGGTTCAGGATTTTAAGCATTTGTGAAGGGCTCCGATATCTAAAAGAGTACTGTAACTAGGGTTCCTTCACGGGTTAGGGTTTCTTGTTTCAGGGCTTGGGCATGATTCGGCTTTTTCGGGTTTAGGGTGATCATGACCTTTGTCCCAAAATCGCATAGATGGCAACCCCAAAGCGACAGGGCAGATTCGCTATCGGAGTCCCCGCAGCGGTTTTCTGGGTGATCATGCTCTTTGTGCTATACTGTACCGTGCTATACTATATGCATACTATAATATACTAGGCCATATTATACAAGAATGTAGTGGGAAGGTCGCGGAAATGTCTTACAGATGCCTGCAAACTCGGGTTGAAGACATCGTGCCAGGACATCACAAGAAAACTCTCAACACTGTGGGTACGTCTACATGTAATGTATTCAGAGGCCCTAACCCCAAATCCCAGATCCTGAACCCTGCCCGAACTCAAAACCCGCCGAATCCCGGCAAAGTTTGCTCCCCACTTGCTTCCTAAACCCTACCTGTAGAGGCAAAAGCCAACCTACCTTTCTAGGGTTCCTGTCGGGTTTTTGGGTTGCGGCTAAACTCAAAAACCATCAAAAACCCCAGCAGAGCTCCCTATTGGGCACTTGAAGCCCATATCCGCGATCGTCTCACTACTTTATTGCAGAGTATGGTCTAGTATAGCTATAGCACATACAATATAGTATTGTATGCATAGTATCGTACGTCATTCATTCTATACTGTATAGTATAGAAAGTAAGCACCCCCAAGCCCTTTACACTCGAGCCCTCCCAAGCCATGAAAGGCCGAAACACACACTAGAATCTTAGAAACACTCTTAAGCCTAATACCCTAAACCCCTACCCGCAAACCCCCTACCACACTCTAAAACCTGAAACCCTTAGCCTTTAAACACCCTAAAACTTTGTAGAATCCCGACCCTCAGCCACCCTAACCTCTAAACCCTAAACTCCTGAAATTCGAGCTTGGGACCGGCCTTCAACGGCGAGGCTCAGCTGGAACTGGACGGTGAGGTTCCCCTCTTCAGGTCGGCCTTTCCGGTTTACTTACCTTTGGTTAATAGGGAATGGAAGAATAATAGTAACTGTAGTTATAATTGTACCCCATTCCTCCATTCCCTACTCACCAAAGGTAAATTTAAGGCTTTGAAAGTGACTAGGGTCACTATTATAAGGATCTGTGAAGGTTCCATAGGGGTTTTGAAGGTTTTAAGGGGTTTAAATGCAGGTTTAGGGAATGGGTTCGGGGGTAAGGGTTTAGGATATGGGAATTTGGGTGTAGGGTTTTTGGAATTGGGATTAAAGTTTTTTGGAATTGGGTTTAGTGTTCACGATGCAGGGATTGCGGGTTAGGGTCGCCTTCTCGGGAAGTGGTCCCATGAAAGGGCCTCTATGAGTAGAAGAGGGAGTAAGCTTTTCGGGAATCTTACAGTAGAACTATAGAGGGACAAAATGGGTGTAGCAAGCCCTTTATCCTGGGCTCAAAAATTAAGGGCAAGCCAAGAAAACAGCATCTTTGAATGTGCGCGGTATTCCGCCCACGAACGCATAGAAGAACCCTTCTTAAAAGGGCTTAGCACAACGTAACCTCAAAGTTCATACCCGCCGAAAGCCTACCGAGAAACATCCTGAACCCAAAATCCTAAGCCCCAAACTTCAACCCTAATGGGCCAACGACCCTGGCGCACCCTGCAGTGATCAGTGCAGAGACCTTGCTGCGCCACCCGGTTTGCTAATGTGCTTTCCGTATCCCGTAACCTAAAATCCCAAAACTCTAAACTGTATCAATCTGTTGTTTTTTTGAAATAACCTACGACCCTAAAACTCTGAACTTTACCTATATTTACCCGAATTCCTCAACCCTGAACTCTAAGACTCTAGGATCAATCCGATCCTGAATCCTTGCACCTTCAATCCTAAGCTCCTAAACCGCACCAAAACCTGTCAATCCTAAAACCGCAAACCTTACCACTCCCTGTCAGCAAGAAGTCGCTTCTGCCCTTTTACAGACTAATGGAGCCCTATACAGAACCCCGCACGCAAGAACCCTACGGAACCCATGAGCACCCTGAAATAACACCAGAACAACCCGATAAGAATCCCTGAACCCCGAAACCCTAACCCGGCGTCTTCAGAAGCTGCGTCTCCGCGCGTGAAGCTTTCTCTGATCTGCGAAGCGTTCTTGCTGGCAACCTTTTCATGGCACCCTAGGAGTTAACGAGTTCCCTTCCAGGCGCGCGCCGACTTTCGAGTCTGTTCTGCGCCAGCTTTGTTGCCTGTCCACATGGTTCATTTCGTTCAACTCCTCTTCTCGGCGAATGTCGTATGCAACCCAATGCAGATGCTCGTCAAACGATCCCACTCGAACCAACCGACCAACCGTCTTCAGGATGGACTCCGACGATGGCTTCGTCCGTCACGACCGTCTCCTTCTTGCCACCGACGCTGCAATCCAGTTTCAAATCCCTAGAAGTCCTAAGCCTAAAACCCTAAAACCTAAATCCCGAAGCCTAAACTGCTATTCCTCCCTGAGCCTGGCGATGAAAGGAGGCGGCTCGTTGTCTCCACGGACAAAGACAACTCCTCTGGAGACTAATTGAATGTTTTAGGGTTGGTTCAAAGCTCAAAGGGGATCTCTATGAGGGCTCCTATGAGGCGTCCTTTGCGGGTCCCCTCGAATATTGGAGCCTTTGTTCTTTGGATTTCGGGTTGAGGGTTTGAGGGTTGAAGGTTTTGTTTGAGGGGCTAGTGCTTGTGCTGGCGTTGTTGCTGCTGCTGTTGATGCCAATTCTTCTCTACGTCATTCACCTTCTTATTCTCATTGCTGCGAAAGTCCTCCGAATCATCATCACCATCATTACTCCGAATGACACCCTAAACCCTAAACCTTAAACCCTAAACCGTTGTCGCCGGGCTGTAGGATGCAACAGCTTCGGAGTTCAAAGATCTACAGGTTGAGGCCTGAGATGCATAGCTTCAGACCCGGGACCTAAGCTACTCTAACATACGGGCCTTGAGAATCGGAATAGGGTTTTGGGGCCCATTATACGAATAATACAAGAACACCGGGAACCCCCAAACTAGTATTGGGAATGATTTAAGTCCCTATATTACACACTGATGTGATAGAAGACCGTTTGCCTGGAGGCCTTGACCTTAAAGCAGCACCCGAAACCATGGATTTCCGTTGTAGAACCCTAAACCACAACTCCCCGCCACCCCGAACCAAAACTTGGAGAGCTTAGCGGCCCCGACGAGTGCGTAGCCGCCGAGGTCGCCACGTTGGGCGACCTCGGATTTAGGATAGTGCTTATCTCAGTTTCCCAGGTCCGGGTTGGGGGCTTCGAGTGAGGAGATGTCGCAAGTTCCAAGGAATTCTGCAGGACCCGGGAGCACGAATATAGAAAGCTAGACAAAACGAATATGAGCGTTCTATAAACTAGAATCAAGCTTGTAGGGTTTTGGGTCCAATCTAAACCAAGAGCCTCAATAACTAGAACCTAGAAGAGGGCTTTGGGGAGGGAGGAGGACGCATCATAGCGCAGCACAATTGTACACAGGAAACCTCAGGAATGATAGTTTCTCTGACCGCTATGTTGTTTTCAATCCATATTCGCATCCCGTCTCATTCCAGGCCAGCAACTTTTGGGCTCGAATGAATCTAGGAGGGGCCATGTGATCATGTGTCTACACAAAGAAAAAGTCAAATAAATCAACAAGCAAGCACGTGTCTAAATATACATATATGTGTATATATATATATATATATATATATATAGAGAGAGAGTATCAAGTACAGGATATGCTAGCTGACCTTGACGTATCTTAAATAAGTTCTATACACATATGTACATACACACACATACGTATATTCTATGTGTATGTATGTATATACATATATATATACTATATTATACATATTATATAAATAGACTCACAACCTTACTACTACGTAGCTATTTAGCTAGCGCGCCAGCTTGCTTACTTGCTCCCTGCTGCCTTCGCTGTTTCGTTCCAAGCATCCTTCCTTCCTTCTTTCCAGTCTGATTCAGTCACACACACACACACACACACTCGCGCACACACACATACACATATACTTATGCACCAGAATTCGCACGTACATGTCTATGTTTGAAGAAGACCTATGTATGCATCCGTACGTATGTGTGGCTGTTGCTTGACCCTGCAGTATGTGTCTGAGCTTAATTACGCGTTTCTTCAAACTCTTAGAGCCTTGGAATGTTTTGAAGCCTAGCCACCAATTGAGCCCTAAGCACCCAAGCCGACACATTAATCCAACAACCTCTAAATCTCAGATCTGAAACACCCAAAACTAATTTGTAAACGTCCCTAAACGCTAAAACAGCGAACCCCACACCCTACACAACATGCCATGGTCAAACAGCCGAAATCGATACCGAGTCTTTGGGTGCTTCTGGAGATCTGGTGACCAGGCGACCATGTTCCAGTTGTCGTCAAGCAAGCTCAGCACCTTTCAGTAGCAAACTAAGTAGAAAGGCAGGGATCCCTCCTGTTCGCCTTTGCGAAGCCCACCTATGTATCTGATTTGTATTTGATGGCTTAGAATCTTAGAGCTTAGGATGCGTTTCTTGGGGCTTCGGGTTTTCCTTGCTACTTCGACTGCTGCCAAGGTTAGCAAGTCCACGTGCGCATGCTGACAATAGTACTGCCACGAGGTGCTGCGATTAGGGTTGAGGCTACTATTGTAGGGCCCTTGATACTTGGAATGACTTTGCTAAGCTTTGGCCAAGGTTGACTGCAGAGTTCTATGATGCTATGAGGTGAATACACAATCCTTAATCCTTGGAACCGCATTTTGGGCTAGGCTGACGTGTGAGTTAACTTGATTAAGGATTATAAGGCGATATTGCTCCTAATTGTTCAGGCCTCTCTACATCTTGCTACTTGCGGCTCGCATTTGCCTTTGCCTTCATGTAGACTTGGGTGTCGAGGGCTCAGAGCCAAGAATGTGCCCTTAAACTTCTACCCTTCCACCCAACACCCATGCTACCCAAACTGCACGAACTGGCACCCCTGGCGACGAAACGAAACCACGCCCTGCGCTCTCACCGCGCCGGGCCACCCAGACATGGATTCCGTAGCTGGGCTGCACCATGGGATGCTGCACGGCCACGCGGAACCTACAGAGCTGCGGGCTCCAGATTTGAGGCTCAGATGCTTCAGTTTGGAAGTTTCCGAAAGTTAGGGGTACCTTATTTAAGGGTCCAATAGGATTCTGCTATTTCGGGTACTATATTACGTATTTTCGGAAACTCCCAATTAAGCCTGGGTCTCTGTTAGGAAGACAAAAAGAACCCAGGATGCTGTTTATGGGCTCCCGTTCAAGGATTCGGAAGCCCACCCGAAGAGAAGTAGCAAGGATCCACAGCATTGACAGAGTAGGCCTCAACCCCAGCTAAAGCCCCAAGACACCAAACTTTAGACTCTAAACACTAAAACCCCAGAACCATAAACTCAAGCAGCCTTCACTCTGGAACCATTGACCCTCGCCGATGCTGAAAGCCTAAACCTTAGATGCGCACCCGGAAACAGTATTGCACAGCACTGACCCTACCAACCTTACAAGTCTCCTTGATAAACAACGTCTTCTCCAGCAACTGGGCGCCATCCATCTTTTCAATCTCCTCAACCTTCTCTTGGGAAGGCACAAAGCAGGGGTCTTCCTCAACCTTCCATGCGAGATACGCTCGCCCCTCCATTGCCAGCTTGTCAAGTTCTGCCGTTGTTGTTGCCTCTGCTTCTCGGCAGCAGCTCTTTTCATCCGTGGAAGACGAAGGGTAAGCGGAAGTTAACCTCCTACAGAGTAAGGAAGCACGTAACGCACTTTGAAGCCGAGTTGCTACAGCGAGATTCACCGATGCTTCTCATGACACCCAAACTGTAAAAACGTCAACGAAGCCCAAACGCCCTGAACTTCGAATCCTCTAAATACTGAACACGCCAACCCTAAAAGCTATGGCCCCCAAAGACCATTCAAGCCTGAACATTAAAGTTTTCAAAGAAGCCGAACCTAGGGCCCAAATGTAACAGGTTTAGACCCCCTAAGAGGCCATAGATGCCCAAACCCCACGCCTTGAAGCGAGCAGCTTTGCAACATCTGCCCTGATTCCCTGATAAAATCTTCTAACCCGAAGGCCCCCATAAAACCCAACATCGTATACACGCTAAGCTTGAGCCCACAATTGGCGAGTTCTAAAGTCCCAGCAGTACTTGGAGACTCCTTCCACTGGGTATGGCCAGTTTCGGGCAGCACATCCAGGTAGAACCCTCTAGAACCCTTGGAAAATCATAGTGAAACCCTATAGACATCTCCCGGTTTAGGGTTTAGGAAACCCTAAACCCTAAACCCCTAAACCCTGAGCCCCTAAACCCCTAAACCCCTAAACCCCTAAACCCCTGAGCCCCTAAACCCCAAAACCCCAAAACCATAAACCCCGAAACCCTAAACCCCGAAACCTCCCATCTCCCCAAGCCGAGGCGCAAGTACCGGAAGCGGAAGTCGACCAGGGGCTTCGCGAGGTTTATCAAAGCCGACCTCGTTTTTTGTTCCCTTTAGGGGGTCCATTTAGGGGGTTTAGGGTTTAGGGGTTTAGGGGTTAGGGTTTAGGGATTTAGGGCTTAGGGTCCATTTAAGGCTTTTTTAAGGGTTCTTTTAAGGCTTCGGCTGAGGGTTCAGGGCTTATTAAAGCCGCCCTCGTAGCGCTACAAAGGCTTCCCGTGAGGGATTCGGTTTGGGGTTCTTGCTTTAGGGTTTAGGGTTTGGTTACGGTTTAGGGCTTTTGGCTCCATAAGGGTGACTTGGGGTTTTTGCTCTACATGTTCAGGGGTTTGTCAACGCCGACCTGTTTTGGGCTCCATAAAGCTCGGGTTCAGGGTTTAGGGCTCTTGCTTCCACAAGGGCTTCGGTGAAGGCATTTACGGTTTAGGGTCGAAGGTTCTTCCGAGGGTTATCTTAATAAGGCTTCTTTTAAAGGCTCTGCAAGGTCCCCAAAAGTATAAAATGAAGCTGCCATGAGGGTTACTCTCAGGGGCTCCTGTGCAGGTAGTACGACAAGGGTCCAGGGTTTCGGGCCTGTTTGCCCAACAGCCTTTAGGTTCCGCGTACATCATACTCTAATTCTGTGCCCTTGGGACTTCAGGAGAGAAGAGTAATGCCAAGTATGACAGTGGCTAGTTGCTATGCAAAATTGAGGCTTCCGTATCCCGGACAGGAGTTTCATCCGTACGGCTACGGTGACTTATCCTGCCGTCACGATGGACTTACTTACCTTTGGGTAGTAGGGAATGGAGGAATGGGGTATAAGTACAACTACTATTACTACCATTCTTCCATTCCCTACTAACCAAAGGTAAGCTTAGTATGAACTCAGGTACAACTACCAGTGTGACGATTGGACACCGGAACGCGGAAACAGTGCCTTGTAAAATCCAACCCGGAGCTCTCAACCACAAATTCTATTTAGGTCTTAGTATACGGAGTATACCGTATAAACAGGCGAGCTATGGCATCTGACATGAATATTTAACATCAGATAGCAGATATACCATGGTACAGCGATAAAACCATTCCCATCCTAAAGACAACCCTCAGATACATCACCAAAACCCAAAAAACCTAAACCCCTAAAGCCGTCAGCCCAAACCCCTACGTATACATCCCTAAATCCGTAAACCCCTAAACCCTAAACCCCTACACCCGTAAACCCCTCAACCCCTGAACCCCAAATCCCAAGCAGCCTTATAGTAACCCTTACAGTACAACCCTTTACAGGAACCCCAAACCCCGAAACCTAAGCCGGGCTTCGGAAATGCAGTGGACTGCACGGCCGGCAGATCGCTTGCCAGAAGCAAAGTCTGCTCCGATGTCCTGCGCGATGCGTGCCGAAACTCCGGGGCTTCAGGGCTTAGGGTTTAGGGGTTTAGGGGTTTGGGGTTTAGGGGTTTAGGGTTTAGGGCTTAGGGTTTAGGGTTTAGGGCTTAGGGTTTAGGGTCTTTAGGGTTTAGGGCTTAGGGTTTACTGTTTCAGGGTTTAGAAAAGTTGAAGGTTTTAGGCGAGGAGTTTTCTAGGGTGCAGGGGGTTAGGAAGGCAGGTGTAGGGTTTTAGAGCTTGGGAATGTTTAGGGCTTTCAGCGTTTAGGGGCTTAGATTTTGTCTAAACCCCTGAGGATAAAGCCGTCTAAAGACCGCGTTTGGAGAACCGGCTACAAGCCCTCATCGAACTGCTTCCCCCTGCGACTCAAAAAAGCCCCCTGACACACTGACCCCTTCACCCAAAAAGCCCAAACACATAAACTAACATAGGGGCCTAAACGAATTACCAAGACTGTTTGGGCGGTTCCTTATTACAGTCATAGTATAATGTGCCCCAAAACCCTTCCCTACATCATAAATCCCTCAGAGTAGCCCTTGTAGCATCCCTTAAAAGGATGCGTTTTAAGGAACCCTAAGATCTCTGCCTGCGGGTCGCCGTGCACCAGCCCACGGGCAGCACGCGGCCGCCGGAGAAAGCCGCCTCGCTAGCCGAGGGCCTCATTCTCTACTTTCTCTTTTTGGGGTTAGGGTTTCAGGGATTTAGGGCTTTAAGGTTTAAGGTTTGCAGTAGTAGAGAAATTTGTTGGGGTTCTTGGGCTTTGGGGTTTAGGGTTTAGGGGTTTAGGGTTTTGGATTTGGGGTTTAGGGGTTCAGGGTTTAAGGCTTAAGGCTTAGGGTTAAGTTGGGTTTAGGGTCTTAGGGTCGAAACGTCTGGGAGTCTTGGGCAGTTTCAGGGCGTTTAGCGGTTTAGGCCTTCTGGGGTTGCTAATGAACTCTAGGGTTCGATGAAGGCTTTAAGGCTTTCAGGGTCTGGGCATTCGGTGGTCCATGCCTTGGGGGCTTAGGTTTCCGGCGTTGTCCTTGAAGCCCATGGAAAACTATTTACTCTTATGGTTCTCTACAAAATATTCGGGGAAGTCAAAAAAGATCCCAAAGGACAACCCAGTTTGTTGCAGTGAGATAAAACCTACTTGCGGGGTATCATGGGGAACTCAAGGTTAACCTTTTTGTTATATTGGGATTGTAGGACTATACTACCCAAAAAGGTGAAAGGTTACTTACTCTACTACTGATAAAAGCAAGTTTTGAAGGGCTTTATTTGCACCACATCTCTGAGGTCTTCTCATTGGTCCGTCAAGTTCAAGGGTTTCTTTAAAGGTCCGTAATTTAGGGGTTCAGGGGTTTAGGGTGTAGGGTTTAGTAAATAGAATGGGGTTTTGGGGCCCAGTTGCCAAAACTACGACAAGGAACCCTCAAAAGAGTATAGGTGATTATTGATGCCCCTATAGTAAACTTGAATGGTCTTGCAATCGCAGGGTTTTCCGGGAAGCTTAGGTATCGAAGTTTCATCGGGTTAAGAAATGTTTTCAGCCGGTCGGGTCCGCGCAAATTTGGGATCCCGGAGTAGGACGTCTAGGGTTTCTACACCGGGTGCCTCGATAATGCAGTAAGACTATGGGACTTCTTACTCCTCACCTGCAGAGGAGCACTGAGGGGCAGTTGTGAGTCTCAGGGATGACCGCTTGGGGTAGGAGTTGCCGGGAGAGGGAGGTCTCCCAGAGGTTACTGTGGGGGTTGAGGGTCTATTTGGGGGGGGTCCCTGGGATGCTATCTGTCCTTTGGCTGAAGCCCAAAACCCCGAAACCTCATAGGTCTCGTCTAGGAATGCATGTAACGCTTTTCAGAAACGATAGCTATGGAACCCTCGAGAAAAAAACGAAACACAGAAACCTACGAAATCCTACAAAGGCCCATCGAACAGTTCCAAAAAGCCTTAAAGAATCCCGATTGCTCCTACAAACAAACTCCTGTGGACAACCTTGACACAACACGTATAGAAGACAGATTGCCGGCTAACACTTCCGAGCAGCAAAGGGAGCAAGGCGGCGCTGCTGTCCGGGCTGCAGTCAGTGTCTGCCATGAACTGGAGGCCTCTACGGGGTAGGGTCTAGGGTTTGAGGCTTCGTTTAAAGGGTTTCAGGTTGAGAATTTATAGGGTTTGGTGTACTTCAACTGGTTTGAGAATGGTTTAAGGCTCTACAGAAGCGATGTATGAGAGTTCGATAAAAGTTTCGCCAGGGTTCCAGAAGGATTTTTGAAAGGATGACTGGGGGCTTGGATTTGGTGCTTAGGGCTTTGAGCTTTGGGGGGCGGGGGGGAGGGGCTTAAAGGCTCAGAAAGCCGTATTGCCGTGTTTAGAGTCTGCGTGCATGTGCGCTTGAGGGAGCTAGAGCTGGTTTAAAGGGAACTCCAGAAAGTTGGAATATGGTTTCAGGGTAGGATACCTTGTAATTTACCATAAAGGGTTTAGGATAATCATATTCCAACTTTCTGGCTGTTACTTTAAAGGTTTCGGGGTTCGGGCCAGGGGCTCCAGGAGATTTATGCCGACTCCTCAAAACCTTTTCGTGTCGGGGTCCAGAACCGTATTCTACACCCCAAACCCTGGGAAAACTCTGCATTTTTGTGGCTTTTCAAAGCCAGAAAGCCCTTCACAAACGCTATGGAAATCTGCGAGGCCTGTTGGCGCAGTGAGCAAGAGTCGCGCGGCCGCGCTGGCCGTGGTCTCTGCCGCCTTGAAGGAGAAGGCCGCCACGTAGACCGCGCCCAGCCTAGCAAAGGGGGCCAAAATGATTCGAGTAGGCAAAGGAACCTTTACCCATATGCCCCAAGTAGTTCCTTTTTGGGATTACCTTATAAGATTCTAAATATCAACCCCCAGAAAGGAACTGCTGTGGGGCCTATGGGTAAGGCTTAAAGGGCTGAAGGGAAGCCCGAAACTTCGAGATCGGAGCCCTGGCCCTGGACCCTTCGGGGAGAAACCGCTCAGCCTTAAACAAATTTTAGGGTTTAGGATCCAGGATTTTAGAGTTTTGGGTTTCAGGGTTTTAGGGTTTAGGGTTAGTATGCCCAGTAAACCCCAATCAGTAATCCCGCAGCCCGAACCACAAATCCGAATCCCACAACCCTCAACCCAAAAAGGACCCTAAACCATCAACCCCTGAACCTTTCTAGAACCTGATAGAACCCTCATAGAACCCTTGTAGAAAAAACTTTCTAGAACCCTCATAACCCTAAACCTCAACCCTTCTTCAATTCAAAAAACAAATCTAGAACCCTTAAAGGGACCTTAAAGACGTCTAAAGCGACCCTTAAACCCTAAACCTTACGCCCTAAACCCTTAATGGGACCCTTAAGGGGACCCTTAATGGAAGCTGGGCTCGTTCCCCTTTTCTCGCCTTCTCGTCTCCGCTGCTGCAGCTGCCGAGGTAAAGGCGAAAATCTGCCAGGAGCTTGCGCCAGGCTTGGGCCGTGGATTGGGATTTGTTTTCTTTTTTTCGGGGCCCTTTTCCTCCCTGCTACAGTCGGAATACCTAGTAGGTAGAGCCTTGTATGAGGACCTGATTGGGATTTGTGACGACAAGGGTTTAGGGCTACTTCAAAGATGGGTTTGGGGTCTAGGGTTTCGGGGTTTATGATTCGGATTAGGGTCTCGGACTGCATAAGGGTTTTAACTGGGTTTTAGTCAGATTTTCGAATGTTTTTCAGAGGGCATCGGTATAAGGACTGCTCTTACCAGTTAGCTCGAGATGTGTAGACATGTGGCGGTTGGCACTTGGCGCTTGATGTCATGTTCGGAGGTTGTTTGGAGTTGAGGAAACGAGGCGTCTATCGCCGGGGCTTGCGGTTTGGGCTTCACATGCCAAGGGACGTAGGGCGATGGATTTGAGGGGCTTGGGGCTAGGGATCTGGAGTGGGTTCGGATTTAGGGTCGTGCATCTGTATCTGGGGCTTCTTGGGCGTGGGAGTCTTGGGTTAAGTCTTAAGGGCTCAGGTCCCAGCTTTGTAGCTTCGGACGTAGGGGTGGGCCCAGTCTGTCATGCGTGCAGAGGCATCCTTAAACCACTTCAGCCAGCCCTAAACCTCCAAAATCCCTGCCATGAGCATGAGCGCGAGCTAGTTCGGCTTGCTACCGGAAGCCCCATGTCCATTCTTGCTGTGCGCTTTGTCCAAGCAAACGATGTCGGGAGTCTTCAAACTGAGGCTTCGTCGTGAGGCGATAGAGTAGGGCAGACTGAACCCTTCCGGAAGCTCTCCATTTTGGCCGTCACCGGCGCGCGGCGATCGGGTCTGAAAAACGGTGGGTGGGAGGGCGGGGAGTGTCTTCTGTGCAGCGAGGAAGGGACCCAAGGCTTGTCGCCCAGGTGGCTTTCTCCACAGAAGAAAAGTTGGTGGAGTCCCCCACTGTGAGATCAACAGGGATACCGTATCGGATGGTATGAGCAAGCTCGGTCTCGGCTCGATCCAAGCTGAGGCAATCAATGATATTTCAGGAAACGCCGCCGTAGCAACCAAAGCTTTCAATGCACGTCTACACCGAAGAGGGCCCGCAGCAAGAGCTTGTTGAAGGCGTTGTTCGAGGGAAGGTCGTAGTGAAAGTTGTCCCACATGAACGAGCAATTCATGTCCTTGACTTTCCAGTTCGCTGTCAGGTTGGAGACATCATACATGTGCCAGCCGCGCTCCGCAAAGCGATGTTTCTGGTACATGGCGGCATAAACGCCATTGACGGTGGTGAGGAAAGTCTGGGGATTCTCCCGCGAAGTAAGCAATCGGGTCTTGAAATACATCTGGGCACTAGGTCTGGCTTCCTGGGTTCCCACTTGGAGGTTCACGGGTAGTTTTAAGTGGGGTTATATAAGTCCACTCATATGCGTTATAGTTACGGTTATCTTACTTATAACTCCACCTGTAAGTACCCATGAACCTCCAAGCAAGGAGATCCTTCGCAGTCTACGGCACGAGCAAAATCAACAATCCTAAAACCCAAGACCGCTAAGCCCCAAACCCGAAAACCCCTTCGTGGAGGATCATAGGACTTGGTAAGTAAGGTTGTAAGTACCTTAATTGGGGTGATCAGTAGTTATAAGTACAGTTACCCTAATTATAACCCTAGTCCCATGATCCTTTAAGTAGCCAAAAACCAGGAGAGGATTCCTTTTGGATCTCCGACCATCGCCGTGATGGAACTTGTAAAGGAACTCTTAAAGGGAACTCCAGAAAGTTGGAATATGGATTAATGGTAGGATCCCCTATAATTTACCTTAAAGGGGTTACGATAATGATATTCCAACCTTCTGGCTTCTACTGTAAAGGAATCCGCTGCCAACCACTTAAACACAATTCCCGACGGTTTCTCAGCAGAATGTCCACCTACACCCAGCTCTAGTTATTCATATGGCGGATTCTTGAATCTCAAACACTGAGCCCTGAACCTTTTTGCAGGAACCCTTATAGAACCTTTTAACGAAACATTATTATTACATGGAACCCTTTAAGGAAGCTTATAGAACCCTCTAAGGAGGCATCATAGAGCCCTTCTAAGGAATCCTCACAGCCGGGATTCTTGAATCCCCCAAACACTAAGCCCTAAAATTCCTAAACCCTATAAACCTTCAACCCGATAAACCCTACAAGCCCTGAACCGCCTTTAAGGAACCCTTCAGCAGCCGGAATTCTTGAAGCTGCAAACTTCTAAGCAACCCTCAGCAGCCGGGATTCTTGAGTCGTCTTCACCCCAAATCCTTCATAAGGCCTGTAAGGGCCTTTTACGGAACCTTTAAAGGCCTCCCTTTTAAGGAACGCTCAGAACCCTTTATGAGGCCTTTTTGGGCCTTTTAAGGAACCCTCAGAACCCTTCCGCAGCCGGGAGTCTTGAATCTCCGTGAAGAGCTGGGCCACGTCTTCCTGGCGCCAGGCCGCGATCTCCTCCCAACCCGGATGGAAGACCACCTGGGCTTAGGGTGTATACCTATCCTTATTATTTACGATAGATCCTTATCATGGTAACTTGAATCCCCTAACAAGAACCCAGTATACCCTAAACCCTAAACCCTGAACCTCCTAAACTCTAGGGTTCCTTTAAAGGGTTCCTTTGCACAGGGATCTATAAGGATTACTGTAAGGATTGCTATAAGGCTGCTTAGGGTTTAGGGTGTTTATGGGTTTAAGAGTTTAGGGGACTTCGGGGTTTAGGGTGCTATGGGTCTCTGGGTTCTTGGGGGTGGGTTTCGTGGGTGTTAGGGGCTTAAGGCATAGGGGCTTTTGCGGTTTAGGGGTTACGGGGTTATCAGGGGTTTTTCGGGGCTTAAGGCTTCGGGGCTTTTGGGGTTTAGGAGATGCGGGGTTCGGGGTTTTAGTGGTCTAGGGGTATAGTGTTGGGGGTTTAGGGGTTCGGGGGTTTAGGCGTCTAGGGGTCTGGGGGTTTTGGGGTTTAGGGGTCTTGTGTTTAGGTGAGGGATCCGTTTCGGGGTGCCTTTTATGGAAGAAGCAACCCAACACCCTAAACCCCAAACCCTAAACCCCCGGAACCCCAAACCCCAAACCCCCGGAACCCTAAACCCTAAACCCCCGGAACCCTAAACCCTAAGCCCCCGGAACTCCGAACCCTAAACCCCCGGAACTCTAAACCCTAAACCCCCGGAGCCCTAAACCCTAAACCGGGGATCCGTGAAGCGATTCGAGCGAGAGGCGAAGTCAGGCTGGAGGCCGACCACAAGGCTCGCGAGCTCTCTTATGGTGGTCACATTCCTGGGGCTTATAGGGTTTAAGTTTAGGGTTTAGGGTAAGTTTAGGGTTTAGGGTGTAGGGTAAGTTTAGGGTTTAGGGTAAGTTTAGGGTTTCGGGTTTTCGGGTCAAGGTGGTCACATTCCTGGGCTGTTGTTCCGGAGCCCAACCGAAAAAAGCAGAATAGGCATGTAAAGTATACAACTCCGTGTGGACCTAAACCTCAAACCTGCAGGATCTAAAAGATAAAAACCCTAGACCCTAAACCTACAGGACCTAAAGGACCCAAAGGGTCGATCTCTAAACCCTAAAGGACCTAAAGGGTAAGCCCTGGCCCAGGCTCATCCAAACCTTAAACCCAAAGGACCTATTCCTCAACAAGAGCACCAGGCTCCATCTCGAGGGGATCTGAAGGATGTTGCACTCGTTCGGCCAGCAGGGGCAGTTGCACTGGTCCACGCTGGTGCCCTCGGCCCTCCAGTGTCCCTGCCTTACTTAAAGGATCATGGGACTTAGTAACTAGGGTTATAATTAGGGTAACTATACTTATAACTACTTATAACCCCAATTAAGGTACATACAACCTTACTTACTAAGTCCCATGATCCTCCAAGTAAGCACCAAAAACCTAGCGTTTCGAGAACGTATGTAAGGAAATCCTAATAAGGAAACCTAACAAGGTAGGTTTTGTTGTAAGGACCTGTTACAGAAGGAAACCCTAGTAAGGAACCCTAAACAGGTAGGTCTTGTACTGGGGCCCAGGTGCATGATGTTCGTACCAAACCTCTGCAAGTAGGTGATTGCCAGCATCTTCTCCTCAGCTCTTGTTGAAGAAAGCGAAGCTTTCAAGAAGCTCTGGTATCAAGGTTTAGGGTTTAGGGTTTGGGATTTAGGTTCTAGCCGACTCTTTGGGGGAGGGGGTGCCTATTTTTGGTGGGTTCCTTATGCAACCATAGGAAACATATACATATATAGTACATATATTTATACATATGTATTTAATTATTGTGTATGTATTTATTTGTTTATTTACCGCAAAACCCGGTCCTAATTGTCAAGGCCCCTATTATGCCATGTGCACCGCTTCGCAGCGGGAGCCGCGGCTGCGCCCGGTGGTGCTCCCCTAAACCCTAAACTAAACCTCTAAAGCCTAAACTCCGTAAACCCTAGACCCTCCAAACGCCCAGCAGACCGTTACACCCCCATAAACCTTACACACCCATTTGTGCAGGTTCCTCTTATACGCCCTAGCATATGGATTCATAGGCACCCTACAAAAAGGTGAGCTTCGGTAGGTTACGGCCCACCTTAAATGGGTGGTTGTCAAAATTTGGGCCCCTTTTTGGGTCCCTCATATAATACGGCACCTAATATTTAGGGTACCCAAACAGGGACCCCTATTTTGACAACTACCCAAATTCACAAGGGCCCAGTCACCGGGTTTCGGTAGTAGTGGTGCTCGACTGCCAGAGTGGGTCTCCACGGCTTGGTGCGAAAGCCTCGGTAAGTCCATGGACTCAAATGGGTGGTTGTCAAAATTATGGCTCCCTTTTGGGTCCTTATGATAGTACGGCACCAAATATTTAGGGTACCCAAAAAGGTGCCATAATTTTGACAACCACCCAAATGGTGAATTTCAGATTCTAGATACCAAAAATCTTTCAGAGCATGGAATTCGGGTCCATGTACTCATATGGTGAGTTTTAGATACCAGATCTGTCAGAGCATGGAATTCGGGACCTAGCATCCTACTATTTGGGCACTTGGACCTTTAGGGTTTGCCACTGGTGTGCAGGTGTTTGGGATTTAAGTTGCCCCCGGCAACGGCGTGTGCTTCAGCTCTTCCTTTTGGGACTTTTGGGAACTTCAGAAAAATGGAAGTTTTGCCAAAGAGGCAAGCTTTAGAAAAGAGGGAATCCCTGCAAAAGGCACGCAAGCAATACTGTGACGGTTCAAGGTTTCAGGCTTAAGGGTTTCGGGTTGAGTCTGCCCTGTTGGTGTAAGGTTCAGCTTCAGCATTTTGCTCGGGTTTGGGCAGCCGTTTCCCCTAGGGTCCAAGTACCTAATAATCATATACTCTCCAAGATCCTAACCTACATGACTCATATCATCCCAAAACCGAGTACCTAATTATCGGGTCCGTTAGACCCTTACGGTTTCGCTAAATTTGCCACAAAGAGGCAGTTGCACAAGTCGTGCCGCAAGACTTGGCTGGTCCGGTTGAACCTAGTTTCGCGATAAGCAGGCAACAAAACACAGCAGCAAAATCCATAATAGCCAGAAAACGCACTTATAGCGCCCTGCAAACCGCTGTAACGACGAAACAACCCTACAACTTATAGAACCAGTTCTACACAAGGAGGGGCCAGTGGTTGTAGCCCTTTGTAGTTTGCTCCACGCTTGCTAGGAAGGCCATGTTTGTGCCCGTGGCAAAGGCGTCGTAGGTGAAGAAGTACCTTCACTGAAAACACCAAACCCTAAAACCCAATGCCCCAAAGCCCCCAAGCCCTAGAAACCTCGGGTCCTGAAGCCCTAAAGCCATTAAGGCAACTTAAGCCCTCACCCTAGACCCGGAAAAGGTTCTGGTAAGATATCTGGGTTGTAGTTTTGGGGTTCTGAAAAGTATTTATGAATAGGTACCTCTATAGGAACCATAAGGGAACTTTGAAACTTTCCCAAGTTGCCGCCTAGATATGATAGGATAAGGTGCGCCAGGGACGCGTACTGATAGCGCATTCTGGAGTCGCCGATGAGCACGATGTGCTTGTTCCAGTAGAAAGGTGGCCTCAGGGGATGTGCTCAGAACTTGGTCCCTAATCCCTGAAGCCGTTATAAGTGCAGTTCTAAGTAGGGTGACTATAACCGGACTCTAACCCATATCAGCAGACTTTTCGCCCCACTTATAACTACCCATGAACCTCCAAGAACTGTTCAGTAAGTGGTAAAGGAAGATCCTCTAAGGGGACGATAGGCTTCCATAATGGGGTCCCCTTTAAGGGGTACTCTCGGGTTCTATTCAAGGGTCCCCTGTTATGGGGGTTCATTTGTGGTCTCAGAATGGGGAACCCTGCAATCAACAAAAGGTAAAACAAACAAGTCTACCACTGAAGCACCCAGAGGCTCTTTGGGCACCGGAGGAGCTTGAGGCATCCTTAACCAGGAGCCGCAGCGAACGGAGCTGCAGATTTGGCCCGACGTGGCGGTCGTGGTCGTAACAGTTGAAGAATCGCGCAAAGTAACGTTCGGCTGGCCACTTCTTGCGACTGGGGCCGCGGTTGTCTCGGATTCTGAGGTAAAAAAGTGGAGATCCGCCATGATGCTTTGGCCGTCCCAGGGCTTGAGTGACGGAAGAAGCGAGGCGGCCGCCACTCCGAAACCGAAGCAACAAACAGCCCGGAGACACCCAACTCCCGCTGAAGCATCCGAGGCCTCCACCATGCTCAAGGGACTCAGGTCCCTCTCAGCTCTTGTCGAAGAAACATCGAATACCGCGCTGGGGCAAACAGTAGGGAGGGGCTTTTGAGTCGGGCTTCCCCTGTGTGGCTTCAGACTGCTTCAGGTTAAGACTTGCTGTCGGTAGGATAAAGACCCCAAGCACTAACTGCTTTACTGTCTTCACAAGTGTGCAGACTGGGAGTAGGACCTTCGGGTGGGACGAGTATGTCATCTGGCGCGGCAAGTGCGGTTTCGGGCTTTTTGTTGTCACGGCCACTTGGACTCTGCAGAACACCTACGCAGACCCACATAGCGGCAGTATGGGTGGAAGTGACTAGAGATAGTACTCGCTTTCAAACCTTCTTCTGCTACTTATGAGTAAAATAAATATGAGAAGATACCCCACCCAACAGTAGAAGAGCTTTTGAGGCGTTTTGTCGATCCCTGAAAGGTGCCCGGCCAGGTCACCAGGCACACAGCATCTTTGGCTGTGAGCCCTCAAACAGCTCCCGGAGTTCGGAGACGAGATGAAGGCGTGTTGGGGTTTCGGGTTACTGTATATAGAGCTATGGGATTCAGGGATTAAGGGCTTAGGGTTTGGCGCTTAGAGGCTGTAGGGTTATTGGATTCAGGCCTGAAGGCCAAGTCCGATGCTACCAGAGGAGACCTCGGCCTCTGCGTCTGTGAGCCCCATCTTTCTTGAATGGGCTTTCGGGGGTTCAGGATTTAGGCTTTAGGGGATTAAGGGATTAGGGTTTAGGAACCCCGCCCAAAAACACAAGGAGTGCAGGAAGAAGTGAATCCCTGAACGCTCCGACCATGACAGCTCTGGGGTCTGAGAATTTCAATATGGGCCAGGGCTCTCGCTAGTATAGTGTTCGTTATAATGCTTTGTTGGGCATACAGGGCTTATAGTGTTCGGCTTTGCTTCTATCGGCTTTAGAGATTCTTGTGGCTTGTAGGGTCTCGGGCTGGCAGACACAGGAAGTTCAGGCACTACTGTTGATTCCGCAAAGCCTGCAGGCCCGGGAGCACGAACTCGGAAGGTTCAGGTTAGGGATTGAGGGTTTGAGGTTTGGGATTAGGCCTTCAAGATTTAGCGGCGTTGTTCGTGCATGGAACATCGGCTCCGACTCTACGTCACTCTGGTGTAGGGGCCCTGAATGATTAGAATGCAGTACAACTATATGAGGACTACAAGGAGACACGGTCTCTAGATCCCGAAAATCCAAGGCCCTACTACACCCAAACCGAGTCTTCAGTTCCTGAGAGGGAGACTCCCGCTGCCTTTTTTTGAGCAATGCTGTGTGTGTGTTTTTATGTTTATAGGCATCTATACCGACATGTGTCTCAAAGAAGTATACCTCCGTGTATGAAGATCCTAGCAATAAAAACGACAAAGACTACAGCCGACGGTTCTCAAACCGCGCGCCTCCAACCGCGGAACGGAGTTCAACTCGGCAGCTGCGGAAGCCCCAGGAAGGTAGCGCGAGACCTGCACGTTCTTCAGGCCCGTAGGCTTTAATAATAATAACAATCATCATCATCATCATCATCATCATCATCACAATGACAATACTGTTGATACCGACAATAATAGCAATGTTGATAACAATAACAATAATAATGCTAATAACAATTACAATAATAATCATAATGCTATATAAATTAAAGACAATAGCAACAACATTATGCTACAGATGATAATAACTATGACAATAATGCTAAGGACAATAACAATAACCATAATAATTATAACAAGCAAGACGGTGATGTTAATCCGTTTGAGTGTGGGGGACCTTTCACTCCATGAGGTGGTCGGCTGGCCCATTAGTCCTTAAGGTCACAAGGCTTGGGTTTTAGGGATAGGATGACGACCTCTCCAAGATCATCATCCTATAATTACCCACACGGGCTAACCTGATCTAGCCCTGAGCTCCAAACTACCTTCGAACCAGAAAGCTCCGAAGTCGCATTTAGGGCTCCGAATCTCTCTAAACCCTAAACCTTAGCGTCCTGAAACCCGGAAACCCGAGAGCGTCAAACGATGAAAGGATGGGCTGTTGCCGGCTGGAGGTGAATATAGACCTCGATTGGATCTGGATCTCTGAATTCAGAGGCTGTCTATGCCAGGGAAATGATACTCTGACCACTGAAGCAGCTAGCATAAACCCATACTGAACCCTCAATTGGAAGCCCCAGTCAAACAAAAAGGCTAACGCCAGAAACCCCAGACATCCTATCATCTCCAGCTCCAAAAGCCCAAGAGCTAAGCCTCCACAAAAGGAAACAAAAAAAAAAGCCCTTGTGGAACCCTTGTTATGGATCCCTTTAAAGGAACCCTTGAAGCAGCCGTATTCCAATTATTAAGGCTGGGCACGAAAATCATGGGCCCCTAAATTCTCATGCATGCATGGCCCGTAGCCGTTTTGAGCCCTCAAAGTGACCGTATCGAGAAGCTTTGTGGAATCGCTGAAGAACCCCTGTAGAATCCATAGAAGTCGTTGTAGAACCCTTGCAAACGCATTGTGGAACCTATAGAACCTGTAAATGACGCTCAAGACAACAACAACTGAAGCCCAAACCCTTGTACTAATTCTATAAAATCCCCAAAACCTAAATCCGCACCCAAACCCTATCCTGAAAACCCCAAACCCCTAAAGACCCAAACAAAAAGCTAGAGCCTCGCGCCCTCGTGCCGTGACGGCTCGCGCAGACCAGCCCGAGCTACTGGTGAGGCGCCTGAATCCGCACACACGATGTTTCTCTTCGCAGTCCTTCCTAGGAGAGGTCTATTCTTGGGGTTCTGTGCTGGAGGTCCCTGAAATTTCTGAAACTCCCGCATGTAAACCTATTTCTGTTGCCAGGACCTGTGCGGATGCTTCTGAAAGTCCGAAAGAAGCTTCATGGACCGGAATCCTACAAATGGAGTATAGCCTAGAAGGGGCCCCCACCCTGTAATAGTGACTGTAAGGATTATATTAGGGCCCTACTATATTCCTACTATACCACTATTACAGGGTGGGGGCCCCTTCTAAAGTATAGCCAAGAATATAAGAACAAACGTGCAAACAGAAAGACCAATCGGACCCTGACTCCAAAGACCCTGCTGCCAAACCTTCCTTGCCAAAGGCAGCCTGCACAAAAAGCCTGAGGCCGCTCAACCAAAAAACTCTGTGCCCATGAGACTCTAATCAACCTCAGCTCCTACAACTTAAAAGCCCGAATACCACTACAGACCCTAAACCCCTGTACCTCTATCCTTACAAAACCTATCTAGAGTGGCTCTAGAGCTCGTAAATCAAATCAACTTCGACCAAAACCTTCAGAAACCAACCCCCTGGGGAGTCCCCGAGCCCTAAACCCGAAACCCATAGGCCCCATAGTACCTTACAGGATTCTAAATATGAACCCTCAAAAAGGAACTACGGTTGATGATATAAATCCATCCTGCATTACCTTAAGGACCCTAAACTACGGGAATTATGGTATATACCTTATTATGGGTAATGCAGGATTTATATCATCAACCGTATGAGCCCCAAAACAGAACTACTATGGGGGGCCTATGGGTGAAGGCCACCTAGCAAGGACGCTCGGACGCTGACCTCGCGAGTCCGGCAGGGAGCAGCACGGAGTTGAGGACGAAGTGATACCAAACATCCGCGAGGAAGTAGCCCCCTTTCTTTGGGTTTAAGGCAAGTTTAAGGTGGGGATACTTTCAATTTAGGGATTTAAGGAAAGTTTAAGGTGGGGATACTTTCAAATGAGGGGTTTAAGGCAAATTTAAGGTGGGGATACTTTCAATTTAGGGATTTAAGGCAAGTTTAAGGTGGGGATACTTTCAAATGAGGGGTTTAAGGCAAATTTAAGGTGGGGATACTTTCAATTTAGGGATTTAAGGCAAGTTTAAGGTGGGGATACTTTCAAATGAGGGGTTTAAGGCAAATTTAAGGTGGGGATACTTTCAAATTAGGGGTTCAAGGCAAGTTTAAGGTGGGGATACTTTCAAATTAGGGGTTTAAGGCAAGTTTAAGGTGGGGATACTTTCTAATTAGGGGTTTAAGGCAAGTTCATGGTGGGGATGCAGTAGAAGCCCAAAGGTTGGAAACCCAATAGCCTCAATCCTTAAGAGGAATTATATAAGGAATCCCAGCACCAGTTGTCTTTAATCCGGTTTCCAACTTCTTGGGTTTACTATAGGAGCTCCCATGAAAGCAACTTGCCCAGGCACCGTTGGGAAGGCAGATGGAGGCCACACCCGCAGAAATCCCGCAGCTGCAGCCCGCCGGGGGGTTCTGGCCGGCCTACTGCAGATGGGGGAGGTTAGGGCTTATGCAGGGTTTAAATCCCCGCCGAGACCCCCAAAACCCTACGGATGAACCAATCCACGACAATCCATGAGGGCTCATCTTTCCACACCTAGCTTTGTGACAATGTCCGTTTCATGTGAGTAGAACAAATTTTATTGAGTTGCTTGTACAAGTGAAGCGAACTTTTCGTTTCGGGAACGGCACATGCAGGCAGCCTTTTTGCCTCTCACATAAGGATCGAGTATCAGTATGCCAAGCAGGCCGTGTATTCTCCGAGGAACAAGATGGACGTTCTTCTGCGGCCCTGTTCCGCAGCCCTCTCACATGCTGCCCAGCACCTCTCCCCGGAGGTCTAGTGCTGCACGGTTTGGGGTATAGGGGTGTAGGGTTTAGGGTTTAGGCCCGCCACTCTCACGTTTGTCTGCACATCCACTTCGTGCACGGAACATCGCTGGTTGAATGTACAGAGCCCAGCATCGCTTTCTGAAGGTGGCATGCGGTACACCGATGAGGTTTGCAGAACCCTAGACCCCGAAATCCCTAACAACCTCAAACCCCTAAGCTTGCCGCATAACACCTCGCGAATTCCTGCAGCGATACCCACTGCCCACTTCCCTTAAAACCTTATGGACCGACTAAGCCCCAGAGCCCAAACCCTGCACTAAACCCGAAAGCCCAAACCCGGAACCATACCCTAATTACGGCCCAAACCCTGGATCCCTTGTTGCTCCGACCCTAAACTAATGAACCACTAAACCCTGAACAGAAAAAAAACATGTGGGCCTCGCCACCGGGCGCAATGCCGTCCGACACAGTGCAGGTGGAGGTGAAAGCGTAGCCCTCGCCAGCGACCTGGGCTTGGCGAGAACATTTGCAAAGATTGATACCGGAGCCTTCAGAAATTTCACAAGCTCTTAGGGTATACCTCACATGATATCCTACTAATCTTCACTGAAAATAGACTTAAGGTTTTCCTTATAGCCTTATATCATACTGAATTCTTTTGAACCGCCACAACGACAAGAATCCAAACTAGCCATGCTAGCTGCTAGCTGTCTACAATACATTTTTATTGTGTGTACTGTGTAAGAACCCTTTCTCGAACTGGTCATGACATTTGTACCCCCGAAAAACCAACCTGGGCATGACAATGTCAATGCATGCATTCGCACATACACACCTACATGATTGCCTACCCACCTGCCTCCCCACCTGCCTACCTACCTACATAGACATACACACACAAACATCACACATACCTCAATGCTTGTCGATACATACATACATACATACATACATACATACATAAATACATACATACATACATACATACATACATACATACACCTCGCATTGTGATATCCACCCTCGGCAACAATGGGACTCCGGGCCTCGGGTGTGGAAGCCAAGCGTTGCTAGCATAATCAGCATGCCAGTATGATTGCTTGAGTATCCCACGCACTTTCCAATTATAACAGGTTTTTGCAGTGGATACATGATCGTTCAATCATCATCAGGATCCCGACGACCCTAAGGGATCATACGGGCAATTATTTAGGCTTTGACATACTTGTTCTTCGTCAAGCCAGCAATTCCCCTTCCTCTCTTGATCGGAGCCATGATTCGCAGTACTGCCGGCTTGGCGAGTCCTTACATCCTTTCGGCATTCCTTACTGTACTGTTAGCATGTTCTTGGCATGTGGTTCTTGCAGCTATTTTGCGGGATTACGGCACAGATGAGGAGGATGAGGATCGAGGTGGTGGTGGTGGCGATGGTTCTCAGCATTCTGAGTCTCTCCCTACACGAAAATGAAAAGAGTTTCTTCTTACCTTACCCGAGTGATCATTCGCAAATGTACTAGGTTCCTGGTAAACTTCTTACTTCGTTTGCCACAGTAAAAGTAGGGATCTGCTCTATAATAAAAGACAAAACTCTGCAATGACCTGATACAAGTACGGCACCAAGAGCCCGATGAACCTCCAAAAGAACACTTCAAGAAACCCCCGCCGAATCCGGAAAATCTGAAAACCCAACAGCGAAGACTCCAAAACCAAAAACCCAACAAGTTTAGTTGAGTTGTCAGTTTTAAGGTGCAGGCTTGTAAGTGCGGAGTTTTGGTGTCGTTCAAACATTACCAGCCAAAGCAGCAAGCTCAATGCAGGCGAGCACGCTGCCCTGGCAGGTCCCAGGCGGAATCGTGAGATTGTTGGGCTTTGGACTAAGGGTGTTGTGGGAGCTAAGGTTTTCCTAGACTTTCTGAGACGTAAGGGATGGCGCCTTGATATTTGGGGTTAAGGACACGGGGTTGAGGATGAGAGCACGGGACCGAACAACGGACCCAAATCGCTCTTCTAGCTACAACGCTTTGGCGGCAAGAACCACTTCCACAGCAGCCTGGCGTCCTCCAAACGCACTAGGCAGTGCCATGGCCCCCCTATAGCCCTACGTACTAAGAGTACTGAACCTGCTTCGCCACTAACTCTACAAGACCCGAGGGAGAAATGGCATCAGCAAACTCCAAAACATGTTCGGTCTGGCACCTGTCCATTGCAGACTGCCAGCGACCAGCTTGCACCAGTCACGAACAAACAACGGGGGAGCAGTCTACTTGCTCTCTCTCACGAGACTGCCCTACTCCTAGCTAGGGTCACAACAAACACTCCAAGCTAGAGTACGGAAGACGGCGTGAGCATAGATCAAGCTCAGCAGCCTTCCAAGCTCCAAATATGCAACTTTTGAACAATGGAGCCCATCTCAGAAAATGGGACTGCACTGGTATGTGACAGGACCGCCGCACGCACAACTTCAATGCACGATTTGGCTGTCCACCAAGTAGGGCTCAATACTCCGTAAAGCCCATGTGTATTTCTGATAAGATATCCCGACAACCTTTCAGTTTCAGAACAAAGATCCTACCTCAAGCCTAAGCTAAACCCGAAGCCCCAAACCCCCAAAACCCCAATCCTAAATCCGCGGCCCCGAAACCTAAAGCATGAACTCTGAGCGCGAAACCCCCAAACCCCCGAAACGCTATAGAGCCCTAATAGAACCCTTATAGATCCCTGTAGGAAAACACCGAAACCCTAATATCCAAAAAAACTCCGTAGACGCCTCCTTCGGAGAAGAAAGCAGCTGGTTCAATTTCAAAGCCTCCGCGATACTATGAGAAATGGGGGGGGTGTGTGCCTTTAGGGTTGAGGGTTGAAGGGTGTAGTAGAGTTTAAGCGGGGCTTGGGGTTTAGGGCTCGAAGCTTTGAGAAATGAAGTTTTAAGTTTGAACCAACCTGACACTAAAATGGGATCCTTATGAAGAGGGTGCGTATCCTACCATGTTGAGTTCGATATTGGCAGCCACGATTGCTGAAACTCCGAAATATAGGTTCCTTACGAATGATAACGGGATGTTGTCAAGCGTCAAATGGGGATTTTAAGGGTTTTGGAAGGGCTTCGTATATAATATGGTTTATGACCGGAACACGCTTGCCCGAAGACAAGACTGTGGCTTCGGTGTGTGTGTGATGACCGGAGCATTGAATACATGGCGCCTATCTTGGGGCAAAACATTTCCACTAATGGACTGCACCAAAAGTACTCTTACTCGTTATTCAGAACGCTATGCTGATGTTTGGCACGGTCTTGTTAGGGCTTTACATGAGAGCCCCGACCTCCCCCCGCCCCCCAAATCTGGGCGCTGGGGGCGACGCCGTCTGCAAGGGTGCCGCGCTTCCAGGTGAAGCCGAAGGCACACTTAGGGAAAGGGCCTTGGTGGTGCAACAGTGTTCGGGTTGAACGCTCACAACCTGGTTCAGGGTTTACATAAGGTTTCCGGGTTCCTTGAAGGGCACAGTTATATGTTAATTAAGGGCGCCAGAAGGATTCCATAAGGTACGGTACACGTTCCTTTCAGGGTCTAAGGATGGGATGTATTTACGGCTTCAGGGTGTCGGAATTGAGGCTTCAGGCCTCGCAAGAGTTAGAGCATGATTCTCCGGTCTTTATGTATATAAGCATATCTAAGGGAAGGCCAAGTGAAAACTCTGTGACAACCTATTCAAGCCCTATTCGGATTTTGGGTTTAGGGGGGACAGGGGCTTCTGACCTACGGGCTAGTGGGTCTGCAGATTTAGAAGTAGATAGTCGCAGGAGCAATGCCGCCGCAATGGTTTCTGTAGCAGCCACTGCACTAAACTCACTAAACCCTCAACCGTCATCGCAAAATATCGCTGAGGCATCAGCACAGCGAAACCACAAGCCTCAACCCTTACCCAGCACTCCAGGCTTTCAATGTAAGCCCCCAAGCCTCAACCCTCGACTCCGCGATCATGGGGCCCCAACTACAGCCAGTGACCCTGAAACTCCTGCACCCCGAAGCACGGAAGGCTGCAACGAACATTACCAGCCCTGAAAAGACAAGCGTCAAACCCTCAGCAGAACCCGTCTGTAGACACCGAAATCCCGCGACCTTGGCAAAAGCGAAAAGCCCTCAAATTAGCGGCCAAGTATCCAGTCCAAACCCTAAACCCTAAAGCCTTTAAAGCCCTACTGCCCTGAACAGGGTTATATGGGCCCCAAAAGGGTGAATCTGAAGGTTACCTACTCGGTATATTATACTATCATTATGATGAAGGCCCGTAATATAGAACCCTAGTATCGATCCCTTACAGAAGCCTTTAAGGAGCCCTTGAACAAAACCCTACAACTCTACTCTAAGCATTAAAGCCCCTATGGTAAGTCAAAGTCTAAAGTCTGACGGGAAGCCAAAAGGGGGGTTAAGATTCTTGGGGTAGGGATTCCTAATCCTAACTAAACCCCCACAGGCTAAAACCCCTTTTGGCCGCCTATGAAAGTCTCCCCGAGGCATCGGCCAGTTCCTGGAGACCCCAGGGCTGCGTCGCCGGGCCGCCCAGGGCGGTGTCCGCGGCCTGTGTTGTCTCGTCAGCAAGACACAGAGGGAAGAGAAACAGAGAGAGAGGGAGAGCTCTGGAGAGAGGGAGAGAGAGAGAGAGAGGGCGGGAGAGCTCTGGAGAGAGGGAGCGAGGGAGAGAGAGAGAGAGACAGAGGGAGGGAGAGGATGTGCATATCTGCATGTGTGCACTGCTCTTTTACTTGTCTACTCCGACTGATCATGTTTCAGAAGAGACATGCGATCTGTTGCGAAAGACGAAGAAGACGAAGCATCACGTTCAGAACGTGGTGGTGCTTTCGTACCGGGCTTGGCTTCACCACGGCCCTGAACTTCGATGGCTGGATAATTACTTTTTTTCCTGGCTTCCGGTCCCATCCGACGGCGACTGTGGCTTTCAGGGTGGGGATGTGACGCTGCAGACCAGAGATGGTGACACAAGCCTTTTATGGATATCTACCCCCTGACCTCTGTGGGAGTGGTCTGTGAAAAGACATGTACGAGGCAGTTGCAAGCTTCTGAATTTTGCAGTGCTTGCACTGTGATGGGCTCTTGTAGAGTAGTTCGCTAAGGATCCAACTACAAGAGTGACATACCGTCTTGTGAAAGCTAAATGCCCGCAAACGCATAGCCCGGGAGCTGTAACCTTATAGAGTTGCTGTACCATACAGTACAGTTGTTTCTGTTCATGCTGCTACAAGTGGTTCTCTGGCTCGTTAGTCTGGAGGTTGCCCTACAGTAGAAGCCAGAAAGTTGGAATATCGTTATCGTAACCCCTTTAGAGGAAATTATAGGGGATCCTACCATTAATCCATATTCCAACTTTGTGGAGTTCCCTTTAGGAGGAGCTACGTGGCATCGCTTCGTGTGATGTTGCTGTGACTAGGAGCCACCATCTCTAAGGCTTCGGGTGCTTCGGCTTTTTACGGTGGAGAGAGACCTAGACTAGACCCCCCAAAGTAGGTAGAATAATGGCCAAAAACCTATAAAAGGCTATTATTCTACATACTTTTGGAGTCCAGGGAGAAGATCAAAGCATGAAGCCCTCGCGAAGCAAGCCATATCTCCGAGAGTTAAATGCGATCTATGCGTCCTGCAAAGCGTGGCGCGCCAAGCCCCTTCAGCGAGACTAAGCCTCAACGCTTCAGAACCTCTGGAACCCCCACCTCCGCCCGAAAACCCAGAAGCCCCAAAGCCCAAACCCTGAAGCCGAGAGCCACACCCTACACCTGCAACCCTGAACCGTCTTAACGCAAAAACATCGTGTTGGCTCCGGGGCCTGCAAGCTGAAATACCATCGCGTGGCCTCCAGCAGACTGATGGAAACTTCATAATGACAATCCCTACCTGGACCCCAAAAGCATGTAGAATACTAGCTTTTTATAGGTTTTGGGCCATTATTTTACCTACTTTTGGGGGTCTAGGTAAGGGTCCATGTACTCGTATAGTATATACATTGGCCTTAATGTAGTCCCTATATAGCTACTTTGGGGCTCATGTATCTCTATATGTCTATATGGGTACATGGACCCTTGGGGAATATCAATAACAATGTTTATAATGACAGTGGTAATATATCAATCATAATAACAGCAATGAGAAGAACCACAATAAGTTTGATCGGGCTTCCCGGTTACGGCTCGAGGCTTCTAGTTTCTGCTTAATACCTTAGGCGTTTAGGATTCAGGGCGTTTGCAGCTGAACCTGTTTCTTGGTGGTTTGGCGGTTTTGTGTTTAGGGTTCCGGGGCTGGTGATATTTCCATATTGAGCACAGAGATAACCTACGGTGCCGTCGGTAGAGCTGAGGGACAAAAGGTGAAGATGGAAACCTTTGATGATGAGCAATCGGATGAAACCACGGGGAACGATGCTCCTTCGGGTGATGAGGATCGCGAAGGTGAGAACATTTGGAGTAAGTGGCCGTAATGCACTTTTGGGTGAAAGCTGCAAAGGTCTGGGGTGTAGATCTGGACCTAGGCGGTTCAGGGTTGAGCTGAGCAACGGGAACCTCGCGGAAAAGATCCCTGCGAAAGGCCACCTCCAGCTCTAGGAAACTCTCTCTCTTAAGCCTCCCCTACTTGTCGGGTATCATGAGGAACTAAAGGTTAAGCTCTTGGGTTAAAAAGGGATTATATAGGGGCTATACTACCCGAGAAAGATTAAAGGTTACCTGCTCTACTACTAGGCTCCCTAAACCGTCTCTGCATGCGGACGAACCTCCTCCGTGGCGGTGGTGAGCACCGCCGGAATTTCAACAGCCACAGTGAAGCCTGGTGCGAGACTCCGGCCTAAGGGCTATCCAAATTCGTGAGCTGGACCCAAAACCAAGAAGCCCCAAAGCCCCAAACCGCCCAAACGCAACCAACGAACTCGAAAGCCGATCTAACCCCAAGCCAAAACATCCCAAAACCACCGCAACAAACCAAAACAAAGCTCGAGAGCCCCAAAACACGAAAGAAACATACCTTCTGAAGCCCAAACCCAAACCCCCCCCAGACCCGAAACATCCTAAAACCCGAACCTCCCAAAACCACCAACATCCGATTATCGACCCTACACCCTAAACCCAAAACGCCTAAACTCAAAAGCCCCAAACCCCAAACACTGAAAAAAACCTGAAGCCCTAAGCCATAAAGAAACCCTGAGCTCTTGTGGCAGCATAGGAAATCATATAGAAACCCTGTGCAAGCCCTCGAAAAAATCAACTACACCCTAAACCCTAAACTCCTAAATCCTAAAGCAATATGGGTGGCTGTCAAAATTATGTTCCCTTTTTGGATCCCTATTATGCACCTAATATGCAGGGTGCCCAAAAAAGGGCCATAATTTTGACAACAACCAGGCAGTCTTGCTGTAAAGCAGTATGGGACTTTCCGAAAATAGCATAGTACCCCTAAACAATAGGATCCTTATTATAAGGACCCCAAAATAAGGTACCCCCTATTTTCGGAAACTGCCCATATTGGAATGTCCAGGAAGCTGTAGTTCACGTCCGCTTCAAGCGCCTTGAGAGCCCAGTTCAGAGGGTGTTTTTTGGGTTACCGCTTTTAGGGATCCTATTTAGGGTTTAGGGTGTAGAGATTAGGGTTCCCCCTTAGAGTAAGAGTCTAGAATAGGGCTACTATTAAGGTCCTAATATATCTCTATTAGGAAGATTATTCAACTATTACTGAGTGGGGGCCGTACCCAAGATCCTATACAAGATCGCTCAAGGGGTCCATGAAGGGTACTATAATAAGGGTTTCAAGCTTTAGGGCTTGGGAGGGTTTAGGGTCTGCGAAGTTCAGGGTTTCACGGGTTTAGGGTTTTAGGGTATAGTTTGCGGCTTTTGGAAGGGTTATTTACAGGTTCAGCAGTTTTCGTCAAGGGTTCTGCAGGACTCAAGAGTATGGTGGTTTGCAGCTTTGGGCTTAAAGGGCTCCTTCAAGGGTTCTTTCAAGATGTCCTATGGGCTCTATAAGGGTGTGGTGTTGGGTTTGCGGGCGAAGGGCTTGAGGTTTTGGAGGTTTGGGGTTTGGAGCTTGGCTTTAAAGTTTTAGAGGTTGAGGGATTTGGGGTTGTGTGTGCGCTCTGGGGTTTGCGCGCTTTGATCCCAGACACAAATTAACAAACCAAACGCACTTCAACCTTTTAAACATTTGCAATAGTTTATGGAAACAATCAAAAGCCCCTGACGACTTTCTAGATTGTAGAGCCTCTTATATACGGGGTTTCGAAGGGTATAGCGATCGAGTGGAAGTTGACTCAAAGCAATGTCCCATCTGCCGTGAAGCTGCAGCGCCAGCAGCGGCCAGCTGCATCACAAGCCGTGCTCGCACGTTGCTGCCTCGCTTGGACGAGAAGGAAGCCAAAGGAGGAAGGTTGGGAGAGAGAGAGAGAGAGAGAGAGAGAGAGAGAGAGAGCGTGTGTGTGTGTGTGTGTGTGTGTGTGTGTGTGTGTGTGTGTGTGTGTGGGTGGGTTTGTGTGTGCGTGTGCGTGTGCCTGTGCGGTGTACAAAATATACCTGCATGATCTCCGCAGTTTCAAATTACACATACATACAAAATATGTATGTGTGCATGCATGCATGTATGTATGAGCCTACGTATGTTTCTGACTCTCCCTTTCTCTGTCAAGATTCTAGATCCCGTACCTAAAGCAGACTGAAGCAGACTGCAGATTCGAAACATCAAAGAAGGAGGTCTTCTGACTTCCGAACTCTGGAACACTGAGCCCCTTAGTAAGCACGCGATAGAAGATGAAGTAACCAGTATCGGCTCTGTGCTCACTAGGTTCCGCTGTAACATCTTTAGGATAAAGGTATGGTTAAACTTGGTGCTCCGCTTTGAGAGAGTGAGGCCCCAAGATCAGGGATCATAAGGGTGCAACTATGCTACCTAAAGAATTGACGAACTCAACCCTTGTAGAGCCCTTATTGCTCATACGAAGCATTTGAAACACATGAAGGAAACTTAAATCAACCCCCAACCCTAAAAGCTGTGGATAAAACCCAGACCGTTAACCCCACACTCATAGACCCCAAACCCTAAACCCCCAAACCCCAGGAGAACACAGGCTGAAACTTCCTCCTGCCTGCTGCAGGCTCGCAGCTGGCGTTTGCCACAGGGAGAGACTGGAGTCGCAAGTGGGAGAGACCAGGGTTAGTAGGGTCAGTCTTTAGGGCACATAGGGTTTAGGGCACTTAGGATTTCGGGTTCAGGGAACAGGATTTAGGGTTTCGGTTGGGATTTGTGTAAGTTATCATTCTTGATGATCGGGAAGCTCTGAACCTGGACGTTCCCTTCCTCTGCCCCTGTCGAAGGCCCATGCATAGGAAGCTCCTAAACCCTAAACCCCTTACATCAAGGGTCCCCCAGACCCCTGTAATGAATACAACGTAACTCAGGTTGTAGCGCGTAATATGCAAGCCAACCATAAGATTTGATGCAGATTATAACGAAAGCTACATCCATTGAAGGACACCTGAAGCCACAAGACCCTTCTGCAAGGCGTACACCTTCCACCATATAACACATCCCCAAAATCGCCGAAGGTAGATCCTCACCTATGGGATCTATCGGGCTTTCTGAAAGGCCGAAAGAAGAGAAGCACAGGTCGCCCAAACTTAACCTCAGAAGTGGACTACCCTAAACCCAACCCCTAGACATCCCTACACCCCTTTAAGGTAAAAGCCAGAAAGTTGGAATATCATTATCGTAACCCTTTTAAGGTAAATTATAGGGTATCCTACCATGAAACCATATTCCAACTTTCTGGAGTTCCCTGTAAACCTGTAAACTCTAAGCCCCTAAATCCCGAGACCTCTTCTGCGGGCAGCGCTAGGAGGGCGTTTGGGGCCTCCAGACCTGTGTTGGGTGACGCTTTAGGGTGTGGGTTTTAGCGGTTTAAGGGTTTAGGGGTTTAAGGCTGTAGGGGTCTAGGGGAGAAGAGTTTAGATTGGAGAGGATTTCCAGGTAATGTAGGGGGCCTGAGTACTTAGAATAGGGTGTTCATGCGGGTTCCTGTTGCTTTTTCTTTCTATCAGGGGTTCATAGCGGGGGACTTAGACTTTATGGATAGACCACGGTTTTCATGCATCCTCTCGAATAACTGTATGCTTCTATAGGGACACTCCGGCTGCACAAGGCCGCGGAATACGGGTCCCAGCACCCAAACCACGGACCCTAAAGAAACTACACCCTACACCCTTCCGAACTTCACCACTAACACGCCCTAACTTTGATCCCCAAACCCGCCTCCGTATCTTCAACTTCTACCCACATGAAGCCCATAATCCTCAAACCCTGAGGGTATAAATCCATACAAACCCTAAATCTTATCCCCAAAACCATATAATCCTACAAAAACCCGGTCTCTTGACAGGGCACTGAGAACCCACAGGGCAACCCTATACATCGCCTATAAACACTAAACCCTACTCCCTAGACCCTAATCCTTAAACCCCACACCCTAAACCCCGAAATCCCTGATCCCTAAACCCCGAAATCCCTACTCCGTCTCTTGCCAGGGCACTGCAATTGAAGCTGTAGCCGAGGGGAGCCTCTTTGGGTCTTCACTTGTCGCTGGCTTTCGTAGCAACAGCATAGGGTTTAGGGGTTCGGCGCGGGGGGGTTGCAGGAGGGGCTTTAATGGGTTTAGGGGATTTTGGGGTTTAAGGGTTCTGAGCTTGGGGTTTTGGGTGGTTTAGGGTGTAGAAGCAGATTCAGGGACACATGGAGATTCGGGCTCCAGGGAGAAACGGACGAACAGAAAGATGGAGCAACATGGAAAGTAAGAAAGATACAACATGAACCCCAACCCTGAAGCCAAAAGCCCGCTGAGAACCCTCATCGTAATTGTTCAAGGAACTATGATAGAAAGGTGTAATAACCCTGAGCGGAACTCTTCTATCCTAAACCCACTACATCAGAAAGCTGCCCAGCTGCATAAAGCCGCAGCACCGCTGACGACAGGCTTCCCAAGGGAGCCTTCTAGGAGAATTAGTGGTTTGGTGCTCAGCTTGCGGTCGTTGCTGGGTTGTAGTGAGTTCATTAACCCCTAAACCCTATAACCCTGAACCCCTAAACCCTAAACTCCGAAGGACCTCTGGGGGGAATTGTGAAGTTTCCCAAAGTGCCACCTATTTGGGGGTCTTAAGATTCAGGCTGTGGGCGATTGGCTTTGGGGTTTGTAACTTAGGGTTTAGGGTAAAGTTCACGGCCTAGGTTTGAGGGCTTCGCTGTCGTGGGTTCTATACGGGTTGGTATTCAGGCTTTCTGCGGGCTTTCTCACAAGCTTTTTAGGGACTGTAGAGATTTCGTCCTGCCAAGGAACACAAAGAGGCTTTAAGCAACATCTCTCGCTGATGAAACCACCCTCCTGATGCTCCGCAAACTGCAGGAATTCGGCACTTTGAAGTTTTGTGAGAAATCTGCGAGACCAAGAACCAGAGACCCAGCTTCACCAGGTGATGAAGGGGTCGCAAGCCCAAAGCCCTGAGTCGAAAAATGAATGGCTCTGCAGAGTTTGAAAGCTCTGGAAAGCTTTGGGAATTTGAAGCCCTTAGGGTTTAGGGCTGAGGTTTCAGGGTGATGTATCAGAATCATCTGACTCGGGTCAAACGCCTAAAGCCTGTGGCAATTTGGATCAGGTCAGCTTCTAAGGTATGTCTGCAGCTTCAACATTCTCCTCTCGAATCCGCCATTTGTATATGAAGCCCTAAACCCGCAACGGCAATCGCTCAGACAGCCTAAACCCGAACCTGTGAACCTTAAGCCCTAAACCCTGAAACCGAAACCCTAAACCCTGAAACCCGGCCCTTAAACTTAAATCCTGAAACCCCAGCCCTAAATCCTTAACCTTGAAACCCGACCCTTAACCCTAAACCCCGAACCCTAGACCCCACCTCAGGGATTCGGAATGTCAGGGCGAGGATGGAGGCGGCACCTGAGAATTAGAACTTCAGGTTTAGGATTCATGGTTTAAGGGTTTAGGCTGTGGGGTGTAGGGATGAAAGTTGAGTTAGTTGGGATTTATGCCTTGAGGCTTTGGGTTAAGGTTTAAGGCTTCGGGGTTTAAGGCTTAGGGCTTAGGGATCTTAAGTTTCGGCTTTGAGCTCTAAGGCTCGGGGTTTAGTGCGGTTTAGGGTTTAGGGTGGAGTATATCATACCACTCCAAAATAAGAAGCCATAGGGACTAACACTGCCGATGAATTGGATCGCTGCAGTACACTCCTGATAAATCGGAACCCTGAGGTGTCTGCAAATTCTGGATGCCACGGGTTGGGTGACGATTTTGTGGTTGGGTTAGTTTACATAGGGGTTTAAGTTGGGTTCCGGGTGCAGGGTTTAGGGTTAGGGGTTCGGGGGGGGTCTTGGGTCTCGATTTTCGGGTTTGAGGGTTTCAGGACCGTCACAAGGACCCCGTCATGCTTTTGGGCAAATCCGGCAAAGTTGTTAGTTTAGCGATCCCATGAGGGTGACTCGTTGCGGGATTTAGGGCTTCCGGGCCCTAATGGTCTTTATAAGGGGCCCCCTTTGAGTTCTGGGTTAACCACGAAGGCCCCTTATCATACACCCCGTAAACCCCTCAACATAGCCACAAACGATAAGGGATTCGGCCCTACCTGCAGTCTCCGTAGTAGTTCCTCTTTCGGGTTACATGAAAGCATCCTAGATATACTATGGGTTAAACCGACAACAGGAACTACAATGGATACCATACCTTAACCTACAAGAACCTACCTTTTTGTCGGGTCCCTTCAAATTCCATACTAGGGTTTATAATAAGAACCTACAAAAAAGTAGGGTTTGGCAGTTTAAGGTATAGGTAGACCACGGCTCTCTTGGGCCATCCCACCTGGAGGGAGCGGCGCCAGCGGAACCGATACGAAGTCCTCATGCGGCGGGCGGCGGGCTGGGGCTTACGTGGGATCCTTTAAGGGTCATACTACGTCCACGGATCTATTTGGGTTCCAGTTGGGGACAAGGGTTTAGTGAAGTTGAGGGGTGGCACGAGGCAAGCACTTCCTGAGGGGTTTGAGGCTTAGACTGTCGGGCTCTGTTCTGTGAAGTTTCAGGAAGCGGTACATGCACACCTGTCTATTGGTATATAACAGGGGCGCCTGCTCTCTGTACACACATACATATATATATATATGTATATATGCATATGAGCATCTGACATACCCGACTGCGCAAAGAAGAACGAGTACGTATAGATAATGACAGGGGCACCTACAGCTGCATATATAGTACCACTAACTTCAACACGCATGGACCTGCATGATCATGCACGTGCATATTCTGTTGGTCATCATTGAGTCATCATGCTACTGTCGGTCATGCAACCTATATCCCCCACATAGCCACAAGCTGGGCTCTATAAGCCCTACGTACACACTAAACCCCAAAATCTAAAATCCGGAAACCATGAAACCTGAAACCCAAATCATCACCGGAATTTGTGTTCCTGATGGCCCCTTCTTCTTACCTTTGGTTAGTAGAGAAGGGAGGAATGGGGTACAAGTATAACTGCTATTACTACCATTCTTCGACTCCCTACTAACCAAAGGTAAGTCTGTAGCAGGATCAAGGCACCAAGGCCACATCCAAGGCCATCGGCCACACAGGATACCTGAGCTAAGGTTGAGCCGCTTGCAGTAGGGGGAAAACAACTACATACACCGCAGCGATGGTATGCTACTATGGCGTCCCAATACCCCAACTTTGTGTTCATGCTGTCTGTGTGCTCGTGATAAAGTTAAGTTTAGGGCTTTCGGGGGTCGAAGGTTTAGGAGTCTCCTTGCTTCAGCGGTTTACGGGTTACGGGTGTGGGGGCGGCAGTGACTCCACAATCGCACCGTAACAGGCCCGAAACTCCAACCTCTGCCGATATTGAAGTCGAACTGTCTTTACTAACCGTTTAAGGAGCTACATTCAACGAAAGGAAACAGCATTACGAACCATTCAGGCTTCCATTGTCATCCTACACAAGGCCTCGGGGAGCCTGAGCCCAACACTCTTAGCGTTTGGGGTTTTGATTTAGGTGTGCCGAGGTTTATCACACTGCCCTACACTTACACCTGCACCTGACTCTCTCTCTCTCTCTCTCTCTCTCTCTCTCTCTCTCCGAAACCCAGACATAAAGACTCAAACCTCAAAAGCCTAAACCCACAAACCTTCTCTCAACTCGAAACCCAAAGCCGAACATGCCCAACACAAAATCAAGACCTACGAGCCAATAACCACTCAACACCTCACTTATAGACTCTTCATAGTTAGACCTCACCCCCAAACAAAACCCTAAACGCCTCACGCAACCCTTGACAAACTCACAAACCCCCAACAAAACATCACTCCGGGACGTCCACCCCATTTCCTAAACCGAAACCCTACACTTGCCAAACCTAAAACCCTAAACCCCTAAACTCCTAAACCCTGAACATCCTCAAACCCAAACCCCTCAAACCCTAAACCCTAAACCCTGAACACCCCTAAACCCTAAACCCCCGTGAAGCGCTCGGCCAGGAGACCCCGGCAGAGCCTCTGAGAAGGCCAAGCTCCTTCCAGCGGCGTCATCGAAGCCTTGGCGCTCCAGTCCGGGGCTCCGATCTCCCATCCTATAAGGGTTCCTACAAGGGATCTCTAGGGTTTAGGGTTTAAGAAGCTCCAATATCCATGATTAATCTTAAGGAATATTCCGTAAATCAAAATATATCCCTTAATGTACTTTCGGGTTCCTTAAAAGGTTCCTGAAGGAGCTCTATAAGGAGTCAATAAGGGAATTAAGGAATATCCCTTAAATCATAATTGGGCTCTGCTTTGGCTTCTTATTAACGGTTCCTTTAAGGGTATAGGGTTTAAGGTTTAAGATACCAAAATAGGGATCTGTAGTAAATAAAATGGCTTCGTTTATTGGCTCTACTTCGATGCTCATGGGTACCCAAGTGTCTAAGTACAGAAATAGTAGGAGAACCCCCAAACCCGAAGCCCTGAACTTGAACCCCAATCCCACAAAACTCCGTGGTGCTTCGTAGGGAATGGGGGAATGGACCCTTACGTATAGTAGTCCCTATACAATCCCCAATGGTAGTCCCCGTAACCCCATTCCCCATTCCCTACTAAGGACCAAACAGCCTACTAAGAACCCTGAACCCATTGAGTATAACCCTTTTAGTAACTCTTAAAGTAACCCCTTCAAGGAACCCCATTCACTACTAAGAACCAAACAGAAAATCCTTAGACACCGAAAGACAAGACACAGCAAAACCTAAACCCTAAACCCCAATCCTAGGTCATGGTTGGGGAAGTTTTATTCCTTTATTGGGTTTATGTACCCATAAAAAATCTAAAATGTTACGTCCAACTATGACGAAGAATCCCACAGAATCCCTAAGGTCCGAGAGAAACGCAACAGCCCCCTCCTTCGGCCCGAGTTGCTGAGCCACCAGGAAGCCATCGAAGCTTCGACGGGCCGCAGAGTGACCTGCTCGCGGGGCTTAGGGCTTAGGAGGATTGGGTTTTGGGGTTTTAGGGTGATTTAAGAGAGGAGGCTTCGTGGTTTAAGCGGGTTTGAGGGCTAGGGGCTTAGGTACGAGGCTTAGGAGGCTTAGTGGTTTAGGCGGTTTGAGGGTTAGGAGGCTTTGGAGGCTTCAGAGGCTTAGGTTTAAGGGGTTTTAGAGGCTGAGAGTTTGGGGTTTAGGAGGGTTTAGGGCTGAGGGCTTTCGGAGGTTTAGGCTTTGTGGGCTTAGGGGTTTGGTGGCTTAGGGGTTAGGGGCTTTGGGAGTTTAGGTGGCTCAGGAGGGTTTGTTGGCTTAAGGTTTAGGAGGTTTAGGAGGTTTTGGGTTTGTGGGTGTAGGGCTCAGCCCCTCTGCTGGAAATTAGTTGCTCTAGCGTTTTAAGAGGGAGGAGCTCTTGGGCTTAGGGGCTGCAGGGGTTCCGGATTTAGGGATTTAGGGGTTTTACGGGGTTAAGGGTTTAGGGTTTCGGGTATGCAGACGTCATATCAATTTGAACGTAGAATTAGAATCGGGCTTCCAGTACTAGGAATGGGCGAAGGAGGCGGCGTTTAGGGGTGTTTAAGGTATATGCGCAGGGGCCTGGGTATATATATATATATGCAAGAGGAACCCTAATATTGCTAGACATGATTGAGAGTAAAGGTTTCGGACTTACTAAGTCATGCACATCGGGTGCAGGGCTTCGCTGGAGATTTTAAGGCTCCCTCAACCGTAGGGACTCCAGACACCTCTTAAGGCCTAAGGCATAGGAGCACGTAGACATAAGGACTTCTTACCGGCTGGGGTCGAAGCTCCCACGAAGACCCTTCTAGCGCAGAAGTAGGAACCTCAGGGTTAAGTGCATTCCTGTGCCGGTAGTTTCGGGACTCAGAGTTATCCTGTTTCGCGGTACCATCATAAAGCATGGGCGACTCAGTGAACTCGCCTGCTTTGAGAGGTTCCTTTTGACGGACAGCCCTGCTCTTGCTACTGAAGCCATCAACTCGCGAGCTCGCGCCAACGCCTCGGGCTGATCTTCGTCCGGACGCCAAGAGCCTGCCACACCATGCTGGGCCGGACGATCTGTTTTGGGATCTCGTCTTTGTTTCTTCCCCCAAGTTGCGCAACTAAAGTCTTAAAGAGTGCTCACACAGCTTTCCAGATCTTGGTCTAAGATATCCCGACATGCCGTCTTCATTGAGACCGATTTTCCTTCAATTCGATGCGCTGATCATGCGGCAGGCAAAACGAGCAGGATATCAGCACGTTGCCCGGCGAGTCTTTGATTCGGACCTATAGACATATAGGCGTTCGAAAAAGCAGATGAGGATGTTGAGCCTGTTATTATGTTATATCGAAAAGTATTACCAACAAACACGGATAACCGTGCGAAAGTGATTATCCTGGCCACCATGCTAACCTTGTTGCGCATCTCACGCTGTCGAAGCTGTGCCAGGTCAGACGGCTGAGGGTGTACTTCGAGTTGTTCGGAAACTTCCACAGGACTCAGGGTTGCAATTTCACGTCTTAAAACGAAAAACAATCAGTCAAAGCCTGCAAAAACCTCACAATACGCTCAGCCTCAATACAAGGCCCCGGCCTCCTGTCCACTCCTCCCCACACCCCAGCATCCACATGCTGCATCAGCAAATATAGAGGCCGTGGTGGGGACATGGTCTTGCAGTATGCTGCCGCACAACTAGTTCAAGACTACGCCAAATAACACGCAGCTACTCGGGCTTCTGTAAATAGCAGCAAACACTGTAACACGGGATAGCTCTGGCCTGGTAAATGCAGCACCTCGACTTGCAGGAGGTAAGTCTCAGTGGCGCTAAACTCCTCTTGCATGGCGCTTCCCTTTTTTGTTTCGTCCGAACTTCAGGAACAAGCCCGAGCCAACCTACAAGAACTTCAGGAACGAGCTAACCCTAGCGGAGCCTATAGAACCCTTCCTTCAGATAGAAAACCTAAAGATCTGTTGAACCCAAACCCTAAACTGAAGACCGGCCCCTCCCCACCGATAGGAGCCGGTTGCAGCAGGTTGTGGCACAGAGGTCACTGCAAAACGGCTTTCCAGAGGTCCTATACCTGAAGGTCCGTTGTAGGAACCTGATTAAGAAACCTTGGGGCTTTATTAGGGTTCCTTCTATGAATCCGACAATTTTGGGGTTGTATGCCCAGGGTTTCTTAATCAGGTTCCTACTTTAGCCACAATGACAGCAACAGAAAGACCCGGCCGGCCCCTTTACAAGCTTACTTGGAAGTTCATGGGTAGTTATAAGTGGGGTCATAAGTCCCTTCATATGGGTTATAAGTAGAGTTACCGGACTTATAACCCCACTTATAACTACCCATGAACCTCCGAGTAGGGCCGTTGCAGGCTGACCCCCCAGGGGTTGAAGGCCTCAGATCATGCAGGGAAGGGGCACATATCGGAGTTTCCGAAAATGACTTATTCTGGGGTCCTTATAATAAGGATCCTACTATTTGGGGAACTACATCAGGGTCCCCTTTTTTTCGGAAACTCCCATATCGTTTCTTCTCGGCATAGCCCGGTGGGTAGCCATTTTACCACCGGGCTTCGAGCTGAAGGTGTGGCTAACAAGCCAGGTGCCCCCGAGCTGGTCCGTGCCGCAACAGCCCAGGTTCGGAAGCCAAAGCCCTAAAAAATGAAATGTAGGAACCGGTTTCAGAAACCTGGGATCTTTATTAGTGCTTCTTATATGAATCCTACTATTTGTGGGTTTATAGAGGCAGGATTTCTTAATCAGGTTCCCACAGTACCCTAACCCCAAAACCCTCATCCCGAACCTGCCAAGAGCGCCGCTATCCATGTACTTGGGCGCTTGAGGCTCCAACCCACATCCCCGACCGCTAGAGACCCCTCAAGAACCCTACAAAACCCTGTAGAAAACAGACCCCCTTTCAGAACCCTACAAAATCCTGTAGAAAACAAACCCTTCAAGAATCGTACAAAATCCTGTAGAACGCCTCTAGTCTAGAAGCTCCATAGACCCCATGAAACCCGATTGGTGTCTTGACTTTCGGCCCTTTACAAGTTTGATCCCGCTCCTCGCCCAAGTCCGCCGAGACCTCCAAACTGCCTCGGTAGGCTTTGTACACTTTTGGGTCGCTTGGCTAGAGTAGGGAATTGGGGAATGGATTAAGGGGACTGTTATTAGGGATTTTCTGGGGGCTGTTGTAGGGATCCGTTCCCCCATTCCCTACTGAATACCAGACAGGAGGGGTCCTTTCGGGTTTGGGCTTTCGGGATTCAAGCTTAAAGCATTTCGTCTCATCAACTTCAGAAGCTGTTGTTTAGGGATTCATAAGCGCTCTTGCAGGCATTTGATTTGGCATTTCTTATGAAATTAGGCACCACTCTTTGGGGCTCATTTGACTCAAGATCTTACTATTTCGATCGGCGGAGGGCAGGCGCCGGCACCCTTACCTTGCAGAAATATAAAGGGGTTTACGGACTTATTACCCTGGCTCCGAAGTTTCCGACGCCTTATGTCGGCAGCTCAGGCGGCCAGAAATCCGGAAATTCCAGAGGATCGGATGCTTTGTTCGTCGTATTTGGCAATGACTTTGGGCCCTAAACTCTACAAGGAGCAGGTTGGATGGTACGCCGGCTCATGTTCGGTATGAGGCCAACGGAACCGACGTGTCCCTGCAGCCCCAGCGCAAAACTCTGAACTCAACCCTCTCATCCCCACACAGGAGCCCAGATCCCATACAGGGGCCGTCATCATTAGAATAGGGTTTGGCGAGCAGATGAAAGGAGCCCAAAGGAACAACGTTGCTAATTCTTCAGGCTTCTACGTTACACCCTAAACGGAGCCAAGTCACACACTCTTTTAGAGCCGTTGTAGAACCTGAAGGGAACCCTGATGAATGCCTATAGAACAGCCATGAAACCGTGATAAGACCCTTCAAAGACGCACCCTGGGCTAGGTCTTGGGCTGTTCCGCGCGTTGCACTGGAGTTGGCCCGATGCCAGCGACGGCGTGAGGCGCAATCCCTGGCAGAAGAAGCCTCGACCCGTGGAAGATAGGCACAAACTAATTGACACATGCAGCATAATAAAGATAGGTATTCAGACAGATAGGTAGATCGACAGATAGACAGACAGATAGATAGAAACCATAGGTAGACGGGTAGATACACAAACAGATAGATGCAGGTAGACAGATCTAAACAGAGAACAATAACAACATGGATGCATACATGGATACATAGGTAGATGGATAGATCGAGGATGTAAGGATGGATAGAAAGATAGGGAAGGGACAGATAGATAGATAGATAGATAAATTGATAGACAGTAGATGGATAGATCGACAGACAGATAGGTCAGTAGGTGGCAACATAGATAGATAGATAGATAGATAGATAGACAGATAAATAGATAAAATAAGACATAAGTGCTTGTACATGTTTGTATATGTATACACGTACGTCTATATGCATGCTGTTACCTATATGTATGAGTATGTCTCTACCTTCTCTAACTTGGTTGTCGATCAGGCGCGGCGGATCATGAGAGGTTGTCACTGTTCGGAGGGCCTGAACAATTAGAATAGGGTTTGTGGGCCCGTGCTACGATAATTTACAATGAGGAGCCACCAGAAAAGTATTTTTTATGATTCAGGCGTCTTATTATTAGTAGTAGTAGTATCATTATTATTAGTATTATTAGTTTTATTATTATTATTAGTATTATTAGTATTATTAGTATTATTAGTATTATTATTATTCACGAACATCATTCAGGTGTCAAAAACCGGGCTTCAGGCTGTGGCCGCAGGTCACAAACGCTCGAAAAACCTTTCAAAGATGGGAGTTTCCAAAAAATAGGGGACCCTAATAAAGTAGGATCCTTAATACAAGGACCCCAAAATAAGGTCCCCCCTATTTTCGGAAACTCCCACATGTCTCTGTAATGTGACATGGAAGC